TAAATTTAGAAAATTATATAGAAAAAAAATATATATAAGAAAATTAGGGATAGTTGATCAATTTGAATTTGTATTTTAAAGACCATTTAGTTAGTGGCGAAGCCCCAACAAAATTATGGAGTCCAGGGACTTAACCCTACCACTTGGTCTTTTCGATTCCGAGAAAAATCAGATCGAGGGAAAGAGCGAGAGGATGGGCCATGTAGGATCCTGGTACATGTACACATGCATATATATATTCCTGGTGTGTTTAACATCTGCGTGTGTATTGTCTTTACAAATTAGGCCTTCGATTTGCGTTGCGATTATAATTAATTACGACTTTATATGTACAAACAATGCTTTCGTTAAATTATATTAAAAAAATAAGGTAAAGTATGTATGCATGTGGAGGTGTGGGTGTGTGTAAGTGTAGTATTAAAAAAAGAAGCAAGCCAATGTTGTCAACATATATTGTGTCGTTCCATTTTGTTCCAAATATATATATTTATATATATAGATATATCAAAATCTGCTGCTTGCGGGACTTTCGAGGCCTTCTCCCAGGACGGACGCAAGGCTGGTTGAACCCCGCCTTCGTAACGAATTCTCTGATCTTTGAGCCTCTTCATCTCTCATCAGAATTTTTTTTTTTTGTGAATTTTTGCCATTTGTTGTTGTTGTGGTTTGATTGTTGTTTTGTTTTGTTTGTTGTTAATAGTGATTTTTTATTGTGGTTTGCCGTTCTTTATAGAGTTAAGCTTATGCCTGTTCATAGGGTTTTTGATGTTTTTTCTTGTTAGTTTTAGGTTTCTCTCGCTTCTCCTTATTGTTGTTTTGCCGCAGTATATGTTCTTGCTGTTATTAACTGTAGTTCTTAGAGTTGCTGTTGCTGTTGTTGCTGTTGTTGTTATTGTTGATTTGGATGTTTTGTAGCAGTCTCAATTGGTCCTAAGACGCTGCCGCAGCCGTTGCCAGAACCGGCACCGCCTGTTCACTGGAATCAACGTGATTCAACTGCTGCTGCTCCTCCTCGGCACGCAGCCTGGCCGCCTCCTTCTCCTGAAGCTGGGCCTCCAGCTCCTCAACATTGCGGAAAATACGCGCATACTGGAAGCGTTCATGGCAGGCCTGCTGATAGGCAGCCGCCTCGTTCTCGCAATCGCCAAACACATCGCCGTCACGCAACGCTGTATAGATCTTGACGGCCTCCTAAAAAGGTAAAGTAAAGGTGAACTCAAGTTTCAAAAGCTGGCCAAGAGACCCATTGGCTTACCTCCAGACGCATCTTGCTCAGATTAAAGCTGGTGACCAGCTTGATGGCTGCGGCCTTTTTACTGGCGTCCAGCTCGTACAGACTGCGGGCGCCCTCGTATAAATGCATTATGGAAGCGTTGTGCTTGGCAATGAACTCGTCGTTGAGCTGCTGGGGCGTCTTGCGGCCTATCAGCTCCTCGGTGGCCTTGTCCAGCACCTGCTGCACATGCTCATTCAGCGGCTGCTGCTGCTGCTTGGCGTATGAAGCCAAAGACTTGATGAAGCGTATCACGCAGCTGTGCACCTCGGGGTGTTTGGGATCAACGGCGCGTGCCCGCCGGATGGACTGCAGCATGAGGAGCAGCTTATTCTTGCGATAATACACCTCAAAGGCCAGCAAATGCGTCTCTATGCGATCCTTGGCCAGCTGCTGCAGCGGCTTTAGAAAATCAATGGCCTTCTCCAGCGGCTCATCCGTACGCTCTAGCTTATCCGCCACCAGTTCATCCAATTGGGGTGCATCGGGATCGGTCTCCTGATTGGCCTGCTGCTTGGACTTTTGGTGCTGTTCACGCTTCACCTGCGCCTGCGCAGCCTGGGCACTCTCCAGTTCGGCTTTCTTTTTGGCCTTGCGCTGTTTGCTGCGCAGCTTCTTCAGTTCCGAGGGGGGCAGGTTCTCTGGAGGAATACAGGATATACAGGATAAACAAAGTAGAATAAACCTTTAAGGATTATACACATACCTATGTCTATCTCCTCGATGGCGGCCTCCGACTTGAGCGGCTTGTCATACAGCCGAATATACACTTCAATGGCGCACTTGGCCGCCTTGAAGTAGAAAGGATGCTGACGCAGGACATCCTCCAGCCGCAACAGACCTACATAGGCGCGCAGCGTCATCTTGCGCATGCAGTACGTATGGAAATCAAACTGATCCTCCACTATTTCAGCAAAGTGGCGCTCCACCTCGTGGCACTTCTTCAGCGACTCGCCCCAGCGACCCATGCGCTGATAGGCTAAGGCACACTCCGTCTGGAACCACATGCACTGCATCTCATTCAGATTGTCCATAGCGGAAACGCCCTCCCGGGTGAACTTGGCGCATATTTCCTCGGCCTCCTGCACCATATTTCCGCGCAGCATGTACTTGGCGCACTTGGAGTTGATGTAACTGCAGCAGGAGGAGGAGAAGAAATCGTTATAGACAGTTGCCAGGAGGGACAAAGATATATGGGCGCTTACCGATCCGCCGTGTCCATGCTCTGGGCCTCCTCCAGCCAGACATAGGCCTCCACCGGATCACCGGCATGCTTGAATATGCGACCCTTCGTGATGAGCAGCTCGATCAGCGTGGGCGTATGATCGATGGCCACATTGATGTATTCAAGGGCAGAGTCCGTGTCCCGCATATAGTCATAGTGCTGCGCCAGGAACAGGGCCGTCCACACCAGTGCCGAGGCCGGCTCGACGGGCGCTCCGGCGTCGGCATCCTCGCGCGAAAAGTGACCGGAACGCGTCAGATTCTCGTAGTACTGCAGCATCAGCTTCTCGATGATGGCCGCCTTCTCCGACACCTGATGCAGGGTGCGCACGTTAACGAATAGCGGCGGTATGCCCTTGCGTAGACCACGACGCAGGTACTCATCGGCCACGATACGGAATTCAGCACCGCTGGCAATATTCAATGGCAGGCGGCGGGGGCAGAGGGCACGCGGATACTGCTCCTGAAACACACGATAGATGGCAACCACGGCTCTGGGCTCGGTGACCTGGCCGGCAAGCATATACTGCTCGTAGTAGAAGACATTCTCCGGATTGCGTCGGATCAGAGTCTCGAAGATAGGCACCGCCTTCTCGTGCTGCTTCAGCTTGATGTACAGGTCACCCATGGACTCGAGCACCGCCAGCTTGTCAACGATCTGGCCCTGGTACTTGATCAGATGGTCGAGAGCCTGCTGGAGGCGCTCCGACTCGACGAGTATCTGGTTCTGGTAGAGCAGCAGCTCGGAGTGCCGGTAATCATGAGCCTCCTGTTGAAGGAGATCAACGAAAAAGAGAATAAAAGTTATAAGGATTGGCCTTGGATTGGTCGTAAGTGTGATGGTTACATACAATCGCAGTCTGCGACTGACTGAACGTCTCCAGGATGCTATTGGCCATCTCATAGTCCCGCAGCAGATGGTAGCTCATGGCGAAACCAATCCAGGAGGCCTGCTGCGAGGGGCGCAGCGTGAACAGGTGGTGGCGCGTCTCCTTGTAACCCTCGAGGTCACGCATCTGGATCTGCAGCAGCGACAGGTCCTTGAGGATCTGCAGGTTGTCCTTCTCCCACTTGAGCGCATTTCGATAGCACTTGATGGCCTCGTCATACTTTTTGTCGCTGCGCTGCAGCAGCCCATAGACGTGCCAGCAGACATGGGAGCGCAGATCGTTGCGAAGTCCCAGACGCACATACTTGTAGGCCTCCTCGCGCCGCCCCAGGCCGTTCAGGGTGAGCCCCTTCATGGCCAGCGTCTCGCCGTGCTCCGTGTACTTCGGATTGGAGAGGATCTGCTTGGCCAGCTTGAGGCCATTTTTGTACTGCTTCAGTTCGTAGCATTTCTGTGGAGAAGAAGGGCCACATATTAGGTGAATGTTCCGAGTTTTTTTTGCCTCCCTCCCGCCGAATGCAACATTTTGAGGTTATGCGACTGCCTTCGGCGGGCCAACCGCCGCCGACGGACGGGCAAGGCCGGCAGCGTCAGTGTGTCGCCTGGAATCACCTTGCATCCCGGTGCCCGGTAAGTCGTCGGCCGCGTGCCAAAAATAGGCTGCCCAGTCACACACAGAAAAAAAGCACATGGGATTGGGATGCCTGCCGCCGCTCGCCGTGCGCGGCCAGGTGAGGCCGGCACAGGGGGCGCTGGCAGGACCCACTGGGACTCAATATAAACAGGATTCAAGGCTTACAAGTAGCTTGCGGAAGAGCGCACCCTCCTTGGGCGGCAGGGGATTGCTGGAAGGCATCTCTGCAATGCTGCTGCTGCTGCTGCTGCTTCTTCTTCGTCCGTCTTGTTCTTCTTCCTGACTGTCGTCGGTCGTCGGTCTCTCGCCCCTGGACAGCGGTGTGTACTCCGTGGGTTGCGCCTGCTTCCGCCGCGGCACCTAGCTGGAAATGGGCTGTTTCTACGCTTTCTAGAAGTCCGCAACACACGAAAACGGAGTACTGCGAGCACGAGCAAATTCTAACTCGACGTGAGACAGCTATATACACACATACACACACACATGCACATGCCGCACGCACACTGAGGCGCGAGCGGTTGGCCGCGTTTCGTAGCGAATGACAGTGTGGGTTACTGTCGATTACTGTTCCAGGGCGCCAAAATCGCGGCGATTTGAATCTTGTGCTTGCAGTTAACCAAAAAGCGTTGAAACAATCATAAAATATGGCACTTACCGTGGCTTAAAGTTGGGCCTTCAAAATATCTAAACCCCCGAGTGGAATGCCGATCGCCAGCAAGAAGAAGCAGTCGCGGCACTTGTTATGTAAAGCAATTGGTCATCAATTAAAACTGTATCTGTGTATATTCGTTCGGTGCGCAGCCGGTTTATTTCGTTCACAATTTCGCCCACATTGACTGCTGCCGCACCTGCCTTATGACTACTTTGCCTCCAGATGGGGCGATTATCTTTCGTGTATGTTATCGATGACGCCTGACAGCTGATGTGACTTCCATGCGAATGGTAGATTGAGGGCGAATGGCAAATATTCCCTGCCATTCGCATGTCACATCAGCTGAGGTGTCATCGATAACACACACCTATCGACAATCGCCCCAATTGGAGGCGAAAGAGGAAGACCAGCAGCAATATGAATTCCCTGGCCAGGATCGGTAGCTTCGTTTGCCAATCGGTGCAAATAGCCGGCTGCGGAGTAAGTGCCTTCCTTATATACAGCATCAGTCAAGGTTATCAGTCATATCTTTCCTACCAGATGCAGCAGGTGCGCACCAAGTACGCCGACTGGAGGATGATACGCGATGTCAAGCGGCGCAAGTGCGTCCGGGAGAACGCGGTGGAGCGGCTGCGGGTCAACTCGCTCCGCAAGAACGACATCCTGCCAGCGGAGCTGCGGGAAGTGGCCGACGCCGAGATAGCCGCCTTTCCCCGCGACTCCTCGCTCGTCCGTGTCAGGGAGCGCTGTGCGCTTACGTCACGCCCTCGCGGAGTCGTACACAAGTACCGGCTGAGCCGGATAGTCTGGCGGCACCTGGCCGACTACAACAAGCTGTCCGGCGTGCAGCGCGCCATGTGGTAGTGTCCCTGTTAGCCCTCTAAGCGAAATAAACCATTGTTTAAGCCGGCGCCTTGCATTGTTATTAGTTTCGATTTCGATAACGCCCACAGCTGACTGCTATCGATAACAGTTTGTTTGTGCCAAACAGTTCAACAATGTCCAGGAAAGGAGGAGGTTCCTCGGGAGGTGGTGTGGCCCAGGCGCCGCTCAACCTGGTCAACTTTAGCTTCCTGGATCACAAGGCGGAGCTCTCTGGGCAGCTGCTGGCCCGCGGCCGCCAGCAGGCGAGAAGTCTGGTGGAGAACGAGGCCGATTTCTGGAAGTTTGTCGGCAAGTACGAGGCCATGATGCGGTCCACGGGCCAGCCAGCTTTGCCGCCACTACTCACGGAGCCGGAGCTGTCTGAGGCACAGCCGTATCATCGCAGCAAGCACCTGGCGTTGCGCCTGAATGGCGAGGCCTTCCTGCAGGACGCTCGCGGCGAAATGCAGGAGCAGTTCCGGCACCTGCTGCTCGTCTACCTGGACTTCCGGCAGAAGGAGAAGTTCCAGCGCATCCGGAAGCTGCGACAGGCGCAACGCAATCTTCCCATAGCCCGATTCCGCAGCGATTTGCGCCAAGCGCTGGACGAATCCCGCGTGGTCATTGTGGCCGGCGACACGGGCTGCGGCAAGTCGACGCAGGTGCCGCAGTTCCTGTACGATTTCGGTTACCGGAGCATAGCCTGCACCCAGCCCCGGCGTCTGGCCTGCGTGTCGCTGTCAAAACGCGTGGCCCACGAGCTGCTGGACGATTATGGCAGCCAGGTGGGCTTCCAGATCCGCTTCGAGCGCAGCCGGACGCAGCGCACCAATATATTGTTCATCACCGAGGGCCTGCTGCTGCGCCAGCTGGCGATGGCCTCAAATCTCGATCAGTATGATGCCCTGATTCTGGACGAGATCCATGAGCGCAACCTCTTTGGCGACTTTCTGCTTGGCGTTACCAAGTGCCTGCTGCGGGCACGACCGCAGCTGAAGCTGATCCTAATGTCTGCCACCATCAATGTGGAGCTCTTCCACAGCTATTTCCGCGAGGAGGGAGCACGGCTGGTGCAGGTGCCGGGCCGGCTATATCCCATTAAGCTGCGTTATATGCCGCCGCCTGCGTTGGAGCTGAAGGCTGGCCAGGCGGCTGCGGCCTCCAAGCGCTCGCAGGGCTCCAATCGCATAGATCCGGCCCCCTTTGTCCAGGTGCTTAGCCTCATAGACCAGCAGTATCCCAGTGAGTACGCCTCTGTTCCGTTTCTCTCCATCTTCAACCCTCTCTTCCTCAGCCAGCGAGCGCGGCGATGTGCTGATCTTCGTGAGCGGTGTCAACGAAATCGACTCTGTGGTGGAGGCCATCCGCGAGTATGCCAGGCAGCAGGAGCACTGGCTGGTGCTGCCGCTGCACAGCGGTCTGGCCCTCGCCGAGCAGGACAAGGTCTTCGACTATGCCCCCGAAGGTGGCCGCAAGTGCATCGTGTCCACCAACATCGCGGAGACATCACTGACCGTGGACGGTGTGCGTTTTGTTGTCGATTCGGGGAAGGTGAAGGAGATGAGCTACGATGCCGCCTGCAAGGGCCAGCGCCTAAAGGAGTTCTGGGTGTCCAAATCATCGGCGGAGCAGCGCAAGGGTCGAGCCGGTCGTACGGGACCAGGTGTTTGCTTCCGCCTCTACACCCAAGCGCAGTTTGATGCCTTCGAGGCGTATCCGGCGCCGGAAATCTATCGCGTTCCCCTCGACACAATGCTGCTGCAAATGGTGTCCATGGGTCTGCCCGATGTTCGGGCCTTTCCCTTCATCGAGGCCCCGGAAATGGAGCGCATCGAGCAGACAATTTTGGGACTCAAGCAGCATGTAAGTAGGGTTATTCTATAGGTTTACCTCTCCCCTACAACCATCTTCTTCCGCCTGATGCAGTGCGCCCTTAGTGTGGACGAGAAGATCACCCCGTTGGGCAGTTCGCTGGCCAATCTCCCCGTGGAGCTGTCCATTGGCAAAATGCTGCTCATGGGCTGCGTATTCCCGGAGGTGGAGCAGCTCCTAACCCTGGCCGCCATGCTGAGCGTCCAGAATCCCCTGACGAACCGTGCCCACACGGACCAGCGTTGCGAGCGGGAACGCCAGCCGCTGGAGTCCGACCAGGGTGACCTCTTCACCCTCGTGCGGGCCTACCGCGAGTGGCTGGAGCTGAAGATGCGACGCGAGGGCACGCGCAAATGGTGCCATCGTTTGGGCATCGAGGAGCAACGTTTCTACGAGGTGACCAAGCTGCGCCAGCAGTTCCAGCGAATCCTCGAGAGCTGCGGCATGGCCGTGGCCAGTGGCAGCAGTGGCTCTCAGTTGACCAGCGCCGAGCGGGCCACGCGTCATGGCGAACTGCGTCAGTTGAAGGCTCTCAAGCGTCGCCAGCGCTTCGAGCAGCCTCGCCAGCGCAAGTTGCTGAAGCATCAACATGGCCAGGAGGCGGAGGAGGAGGAAGAGCACAATGAGGAGCCGCTGGGCGAGGATATGCGTGATGTGGACTTTCGGCTGCGTCATGACGCCCGGCAGCTGGCCTTGCTGGAGCGATCGGCGCGCCTCGACCGCAGCCGGGACGTGGTGCTGCTGAAACTGCTGCTGGTGAGTGGCTTCTATCCTCAGCTGGCCATTGGCGATGAGTTCAACTACTGTAAGGGCGGCGGCCAGCAGTTCTTCCACACGCGCCTCAAGCCCTTCCTCTCGCAGCATCCCAACTCCCACTTTGCCAAGCATTACGAGCTGCTCAAGCTGGCTGACAGCGACCTCCTGGCCAAGCCGGACTTTTACACGCCCAAGCATCCGCTTAGCGCCCGGCACCAGCTCCTCTGCTACCAGTAAGTATCCCCCGGCAAGCGATCCCCGATCTCTCCTTAATTGTTTACTGCCAGGTCACTGCTGGAGACCGCCAAGCCGTATTTAATGAACTGCATCCGCCTGCCAGCGGCCCAGACGCTCCTGCTCTTCAGCTTTGCCATTGACACCAATGCCGGGGTCACACAGATCGTCTGCGACGGCTGGCTGGGCCTGGATTTTCCCATGCCCGGCACCGGCATGCAGCTTCTCAGTCGCGCCATCGAGCTGCGTCGTCGTTGGAGCAGTCAGCTGTACGCCAAGCTGGATGGTAGGTAGATCCTAGGAAGCCTCCATCGTTTTTAAACCGCAAATCCCATTAATTCTTAGAGCTTAGCGACAAGCGGGAGGCACCTTCAAGCCTGACCAGTCCAAGCAGCACGCTCTGGCATGATCTGCTCGATTTCATGGCCCTGGACGTTGCATACGCCATCCGTCGCCTGCTGCCCGCTGATCTCAAGCGTCTCTACTCCCATCAGGCGGCTTCCGCCGCGACGCGACTTATGGAACTCCCAGCGAACCCCTTTGCTCCGGACTATGCCATGACCGCCAACGAGGAGAAGGGGGGCCTCAATGTCTCCGAGCATGTGGTATATGGCTGCCTGGTTGAGCAACAGTGGACACTGGCCATGGACACAACGTTGCGGTCAGAGCCGTGGCAGTGTACGCGCTGCAACTTCCAGCTGGAGGAGTTCGATGTGCTGGAGCAGCTGGTGCATCAACAGCAACAGCAGTGCCGACCGAGTAGGGCGAAGGCTAGTCCAAGTGGGAAGACAGATAAGCGGCCACCACCAACCACCACCTCCTCCTCCTCCTCTTCTGCCTCCACTGGCGGTTATTTCTGTGAAACCTGCAAGACTCGGCTGCGTCAGCTCTCACAGATTGACATCCTGCGCCACCGTAGACAGTGCACAAAAGCCAGTTAATAAATAAATAATAACCATAACAAATAAGAATAACTATATTTCACCCAAAAAGAAGATATATTTTTTAAATAATTAATTATAAATTATCTAATCTAATTAAAACAATTCAATTTTTTTTGTTTACACTCAAGCCAAATGTTTATTTATTTGTACAATATTTTTATTTACAATTTGTATTTTTTTTCTTTGAAAATTATTTTGAAATATGTTTTGTTTTTAGTATAAGTACTTGCCTAACAGCGATCTCTACTTCATAGATGTGTTGAAGGAACTCGAAGGAGGAAAACGAACCGAAACACAGTCCCGTGTAAGTTATATTCAGACTATTAAGTCGGTTATTAGAAAGGAAACGCGACGATAATATACATATACAGTCCTTTTGGTATAAATATGATCTTAAAGTGGAACCAAACTATACATATATGTACATACACATGTATGTAGTTAAAAGTCCCAAGAGATATTTTTTCTTGCTCTTTTTCGCGCTGAAGCATCTACCCTGCAGTGCCATTCATCAACGTTTCAACAGCATACAACAATACAACAATACAACAATTCATCAACATTAATGACAGCTTGAATGAAATGTTGATGAATTGTAGATGACAGAGACCTACTGATGAAGGTGCTTACAAAGATACTATATATCGGAATAGTTTCAAGTTCCGACTTGATTTTGGCTCTAAATTCGTAATTCCGAGGAAACTACCAACGAGACAAATGGAAAAAAAGGACCTAGTTTAGTTTCAAATGAAATTAATCGCTAAAAAAAAATAGCATCGCGATTTCCGTTGCACTCCTTATCATTTCTCAAGGATTATAAATACAAATAAGAAAATATCCATGCCCTAAATAAACTCTAAATAGCATGTAAAGTGTGGAAGGTGTACATATCTGTGCCTTCCTGAATGCAACGCAATTTATTGGATGAAGTGATAATTACAAAGAAAATTAAAGGATGTGTTCAGTCTCACCGAGGGATTTTCATCTAACCTGGGCCTTGTCAAAAGGAAAAAGAATCCGTGTTCTTTTTTTTTACCTAAATGAAAAAAAAACAAAAAATGTTTACGCAGTGAGGACTGCCGTTGGAATTCGTATTTTATGGTCTAAGCAATCTCAGTTTGCTGACTAGGGAGGAGGGAAATAATTAAAGTGAGTTAAGCGCTGGTCCTAGTGAATAATATAATCCTGATCAAATTTGGCCCCAATTCGAGGCAGGCGCTGCTTTCGGGGCTGCTGCTGCTGCTTGCTGCCGGTCTGCTGGGAAAGGTCAAGTATGAGCAACGAAAAAGAGGCATTTCAACACCATACATACCCGTTCGGTAGTCCCAGTAGCTGCCACCGCTGCCTCCTTGCTTGTGGATGGACCGGCATTGGTATCCGGCTGGAAAGTGATATTATTATAATATTAAATTTATATTTTTCCTTATATATTATATTTAATTATCACCTTTATGTTCAGCGTACGCATGAGGCCAATGGTCTCCTCGTTTGGCTCCACCGACTGACCACTGCTAGTGGCCTCTGATCGCTGCGAAGGATAGATGGATGTAAGTACCTTAAGACACAATGCTTGACAAGCTTACCCCTTCGGTCTCCTGCTTATCCTGGACCTGGCTGCTCCGCTTGGGCCGATACGCCTGTATGGGCACAAAGTCTTGGATGGATGAGTATCGCGGCTTCGATTGCTGTTGGTTGTTGGTCTCCGGCAGGTGCTGGAAACTGGGCGGCGGCTGTGCTTGATACTGCTGTGGCTGATACGGGAATGGTAGGGGCAGCTGCTGCTGCTGATGATGATCCTCCTTGTTCAGGAGGAACGTGTCCATTTGCCGGCGGTTACGCTGGGGCAAATTGTTGTATTGTGATGAAGGAAGTATCCTATTACGTCCAAATCCCATCATATGCGGTGGCTGCATCGGATGGAGCCCCATCTGGTGGACAGGGAATGGGGGCGGCTGCTGTTGCTGATGAGCCTCCACTGGCTGCTGGTTGCTACGGAAGAACTGCTGTGTCTGGATCGGGCGATCGTACTGCTGCTGATGGTGGGACTGTGCCTGTTGTTCTTGCTGCTGCTGTTTTCGCTGCTGCTGCTGCTGCTGCTGCTGCTGCTGCAGTTGCTGCTGCTGTTGCTGCTGGGCCTCTTGTTGCCAAAAAAGTGGTGGCTTGGGCAGATTCTGCAATTATTGCATATATATTGAAAATGTGAATAATGTAATAAGTGCCTCAAGGCACTTTTGAGGTTTAAAAAAGTTAAAAGTTCACACATCTGGGGTAGGAGTACTTACCGGCATCTGTCCTGGAACGGGAGCCTTTAGCAATTGTGGTGACGACGCTGCCTGCGCCTGCGGCTGCTGGACATCTTCATCTTTCTTGAGGCCCAGCAGTGACATCAGAGCCAGTGTCTGTGCCTGCGGATTCGAGCCAGCAGCTGCTGCTGCCGGCTCATGGCTTTTAGCGCTTCTGGGAGTGCCGCCCTGATGACGCTGGGTGGCTTGCTTTGAGTTTGATTTCCTCCAGTTTTCCTTGGTTGAAGGTGGATTTGTCTGTCCCGGCTTGGTGGCTGCTTGAGCGTTGTTGTTGTTACGCCAGTTGGCCGGCTTCTCCTGTTTCTCCAGCTTCTCCGGTTTCTCCATCTTTGGCGTCTTGGTCTCCACATTATCATAAGCTCGTGGCTTAAAGAACTCATCGGCTATCTCCGTCTTCATGGTGACGGTATTCCAGTCGTTGCCAGCCGCCGTTGTGTAGCGACTGCAGCTGCTGCTGGCCTGCGGCTGCTGCTGCTCTTGTTTCCTTTGCTTATCCACTCGGAATTTGTCCACATGATTTCTGGCTGGATGGGAGCAAACTTGGGACGATTGCTTGTCCTGCTTTGGGCCTTGTTCTAAATGAAAGCGAAAAAAAAATTAAGTAAGAAAGAAGCATTTTTATAGATTTTATCTGAAAGTGTTGCCAAGTTATTCGATAAACTATTAATAAACAGGAATTTTCTTCAGTAATTTCCCTAAACACAAGTTACTCGGCAGTGTTCCCAAAACAGATTTGGGATTTCTTGGGATTTCTTTACCTTAAATACCTTACCCCCACCCTTAAATCAACCCGCCAGTTGTTGCTCCCAATGCCTGCTTTATACATTCCCAATTGATGACACCTTCGAAAGGCTATAAAAGACATATACCATTCTTGTAGATGACGACGAGTGCACTCTCGGGCACCTTGTAGACCCGATCCTCGGCTATGCCATGGATATCGTTGCAATTGGGCACCGCCTTGTCGAAGAGCACCTCGCAGAAGGTGTCCACAGCATGGACGCACTCCAGTCGCACTGGATTTGGATCCGTCACAGGATGTATCCCAATTACGGTGCCCTTGATGCCCACCGGCACCATGTAGATGGTGCGGACGATGATGACGCGATCAAAGAGCCGGACTGGGCGGCGCGACCGATAGACATCCGGCAGGGTGACATTGGGCTTTATCAACAGATGCGGCTTCACCTGCAACGTGACATCCTTGACGGGCAGGGAGCGTAGCTCATCGACGGCGGTCAGGAGCAGCTCCACAGTCTCGCGGCAAACGGTTTTCGAACCGCAAGCAATGCGCTCGACCTTGGCATGCGGCTGCTGGCGCACCCAATTGGCCACGTTCTCCACCAGGTGCTGGCCCACGGCATTAGGGAATATATCCTGTTCGTAGACAAACTCCCCGCGGTCATTGTTGTGTCCAAAAAAGGCAACTAGCTCGGGAAAGGTTTGGCAATACTCCCGCATCAGCTCGATGGCCGTGCTGGAGTACAGCCACGTATTGCCCACACGGCAGCAGTAGCCGGCTCGCTCCTCGTTCTGCCGCGGAAACTTTAGCTGCAAGCCCACATTGTGCTTGGCCACATTTTCCATTTTCTCACGCCGCGGCCCGAGAACCACCCAAACGGTGCCGGTGAGTCGTCCCAATGCCCGATTGTTGATATTTAGCTGTTGGGCCACTTCATAGGAGTTGGTGTAGTCGCGATCCCGCTCCTCCTGCATCTGGCGCGCGGCCCTCAGCTCTGGTTCCGGTCGCACACGTATGTTGACTGTAAAGGATTGAAAATATATACCATCTATATATATATATATATATATATATATATATATGAAACTTACCTTTAATGCGACCGCAGCTGTAGGCTAGCGAGGGATCCAGCACGGTTCCCTCGCTGCCATAGTAGGGATTACCAATGAAAAATACTGGACTGCCCACGGGGAACAGCTCCTCCACATTGTGGAACTTTTGGCGCAGACCCTCGCTTACGGTCAGCTCGGCCACAACACCCTGGGCCGGATAACCGGTGACCGAGCTGCTCCACGAGTCCTGCATAAACAAAGTACCCTTGGGTCCGAAGTCCAAGGAGCTCCCAGCATAGGTGCGCACGTAGACGAGCACCTGGTAGTTGTGGAACTTGATGCCCATCCGGGTGGTGAAGCTACAGGGAAGAGGAGGAACAAGAAATTAGAAAATGAGTGATTGTTGAAGCTGAAGAAGAACACTCAACTGTTCCTGCAACGACTTGCATTCGGAATCAAACCGACGGCCATCATTCTGAGCGATTCCCTCCTCGTCCACGCGCTGCTCTCGCGTGGCCACGCGCACCACTTTGGCCTTGATGAGATGCGGCCAGCCAATGTGCACCACCTGACCCAGATATTGACTGGCCACTGCCTCCAGTGTGTCCTCCAGCTGACGCTGGCGCGGCTTAAGTACCATGTTCTGGTTGCGGCTCGCCTGCTCAAACACCTTGACGCGATCGTTGCGCAGCTCAAACTGGGGAAATGAAGGGACAATAAATTGGTTCCCTGGCAGAAAACGCCATCACCACCACTCACATCGAACGGCAGGTGCTGCATGGTGGGGAAGCCAGGAAAGAACACATGCCGCGCCGCATTCGGCAGCTCCACGCACACGCTGTGCCTCAGATTGAGCATAATTTCGCGCGACCATCGAGCCGATTCTGTGCAGAACAGCTGCGGCAGCGATTTGAGCGGCGGCCTGGCAGACATGGGACCCTGCGACTCCGTGGTATAATCATACTGGTACATGGGTCCATGTTGGTTACGCTCCCGCTCCGCCGCCGTTAGATTCACTTCGCAGGGTAGCATGGCGCTGAGCAGGCGCCGCTCGTCGATGAAGGGGATGAGCACCACCGCCTCCCAGTCGTGCTTCTTGCCATTGAGATCAGTGTCAAAGTCCGTGGGATAGAACTCGGCCAGTGGGCTTTTCGACTGCAGCATGAGGTCATGATAGGCGGATGGCAGGAGCTTGCAACTGGCCGCCGGCAGGACAGCCAGAAGCTGGAATATAAAGGAAGAGTAAATTGATGGGAAATCCGGTCATATAGACCTCCTCTCTTACCTGCTGGAAGGGCAGGAAGGGCGTGCCCAGCTGAAAGTCAATGCTGACTTGCTCGATATTCTTGAGGTCGCTGATGAAGGGTGCATAGTGGTAGGGATAGTACCAGTCCCAGGACTGCACCCCGCGATAGTAGTAGTCTAGCACCCACTGCAGGGCATTCACATAGTGGTGGCCCAGATCCTTAATCAGCTGCTGGCCCTGCGTCTCGCTCTTGAACTTGTTGCGATAGTAGTTGCGCTTGTAGTTCTGGAATTCGTGCAGCAGGGCCGTGGCCTCGTCGCTCCAGTCCTCCTCGCTGTCGTCGTCGTCATAAAGCTGCAAAGGGTGAACTGTAAATCTGGGACAAAGAATCCTCTGCCGAGACCCGGACTTACCCTACAGCTGTCATCGATGAGAGCAGCCAGATCCGAGTCCAAATTCTCATTGGCCCTGATCTCGTTGGCGTCCACATCAAAGGCCTCCGTTTTGGCATTCATGTACTTGAGGTCGTCGGCATGCTCCTTGAACTGATCCAGCTCCACCTCGGTGAGGGCCGTGAGAAAGATTTGCAGGCGGCGCAAATTAAGCTTGCCATGTTCATTGATGTTGCCACCCAGCTCAGGGTAGATCCGTATGTAGGTGCGATAGAGCAGCGGCAGGGCATTCGACGAGATGTGCAGGCAGGGCAGGTGGGGTATAAAGTCGTTGCCAACCATAAAACCCATCAGTACCCAGTCGTCAATCAACTGGGCCACGTCCAGCTTCTGCTCTGGTGTACTCAAAGCATCGAACTCCAGCTCCAGGTACTCGCGCAGCAGCCCCAAATGGAGCAGGAAGAAGCGCGTCTCCTCCACGGAGGCCCTCTTGACGTTCTTACCGAACTTCACCTCCTCGCGCAGCACCACAAAGTGCAGTTCGTGGGTGCAGAGGCCGAGGATGATCAAATCCGCGTCCAGGCCGTATAGGCAGTGACGCGTATTTGGATCAAAGCCCGGCTGGGCCTTCATGTAGCGAATATAGTCCATAATCTTGTGCTCACCCTCGCCGGGAGTCTCCTGGCCGCTAAGGATCACGCTGCACCGCTGCCACAGCGGATCCGTGGAGATTTTGGTCTTGAGGAAGGCACGCAGACCCGCCTGCAGGCGTTCCATGAACTCTGTGCCCGGCGTGATGCAGTTGCTGTCGAAGCGCTCATGCTCTCGCCGCTCGCCGCGCTGTGCCGCCTTCTCCTCCAGCTGCTCGGCCTCGCGAGCCGATCGGAAGCGACGGCTGCGCTGCTGGTTCATCTTGGCACGGGGCGCCACACCGTCAACGGCCAGAAAGAAGAGTCGCTGCGGCTTGATCAGATAGAAGAGCTTGTCCACGTAGTTGAAGATCTCTTGGAATATCTGCGCCTCCTCCAGGTGGAAGTGGATGTTGTTGTCGTCCGGATGCGAGCAATTGTGCACAATGCCATTCATGTCCAAGTACAGGTTGTCGAACTCGGGAATCTGTCGAACATAACGGAGGGGGAAACCGAAATCGAAATGAAAATGGAAAAGGTGATAACCACTTGGCGATCGTTCATTATTTTTCATTGTAAACTCACGCTGTGCTCGCGCGCCAACTCACTGAGGCACGGATAACGCTCGCTGATGTAGCGGAAAAACTTTGGAACACCCATTGTCGCTGGATTGGTAACTGGCACCTGGCTCTGGCTCTCAGCTTTCTCCTATTTACACACAATTCGTCCTTGATCACCGAAAATTTCAATTTGTATAGACGTCGGGGGAGTGTGTGCACGTTACGCGTCCGTTCAGATATACCAACCAGCCGGTCGTTCGCGAGAATTATACCGAAAAAAAAATACCACAATATTGCGATTTCTTAGAAATGCCTTTTGCGATCTTTGCATCTGTTTGATCTCAAGATCCACTCAAAAGTATGCTACAAAATCTGGAAAGTCCAAATGTGTAGCCCACTTTTATAGGCCGACTGACCAACACTGGCCGACTTCTGCGGCAGCAAAAGTTTTTAAGGACATCTAATCGAAGGTTTTGGAATCTCAAAAGTTAATATTTACTTATTCATTTCATGATTTATTTGTTTTGATTTGAGTATAACAAAAATTTAGTTGAGTCAAGTATTTTTCGGTGTCAAATCAAAACAAAGCACCTGACCACACTGTTTCGGCTGAAACAGCTGTTTTCACAACAACAAAAACTGCGAACGCTTTTGTGTTCCAAATTTTACGTAATTCGTATTGTGAATTATCCGCCAGCGAAATGTCGCTCATCCGCCAAGTGATGTGCAGGAGCAGCGCCCACCTGCAGCTGTAAGTGACTGGACCCCACACGAACCGTTCGCTCCAATTCCCCGCTTCTGTTCGCAGGTATCAGGCCAACAAGCTCGCCGTGGCCGCCCGCTGGGCATCCTCGTCGTCGGCGGACACCACCGGACCACTGGACCCCAAGCTGGCGCTGGCCCTGCCCGAGGAGCTGGAGCAGCGTAACAAGCTCAGTGGCAAGATCACCGTTCCCACGGCTGTCAATCTCGGCCCCATCTCCGGTGTGCCCGACGAGCATCTGAAGGAGCGGCGCGTACGCATTCACATCCCTCCCAAGAACGCCATGCAGAGTGGCACGGACAACATTAACACCTGGCAGATTGAGTTCGACAACCGCGACCGTTGGGAGAATCCCCTCATGGGCTGGGCCTCCACGTAAGTAAAGAGAGAGCTCTCTGCCTCAACCTAATCATTTATCGATTCGGTATTGCAGCGGCGACCCACTGTCCAACATGAACGTCCAATTCGGCAGCCAGGAGGAGGCCATCACCTTCTGTGAGCGCAACGGCTGGCGCTGGTACGTCGATGGCGCGGATAAGCCCAAAAAGGAGCGCGTCAAGAACTACGGCGTCAACTTTGCATGGAACAAGCGCACGCGCGTCTCCACCAAGTAAATGGCCAGATGCTGGCCAGGATTCACATAGACAAACGCTATTTTTTTTTTCCTTCTCTTTGTTCATAACCAAAAACATAGAATATACCGACCGGAAACGGAGGAATTCGATCTAGAGCGACCCTTGACTTAATAAGGATTTTTGGATTGATACGGCTTATGGTGCGAGGAGCGGGATCGAGATCGGTGCTTTCTGCGATGTGAGGAGCGAGAGCGGGATCGAGAGCGGTGCTTCCTGCGGTGAGAGGAACGGGATCGGGTTCGATATCGGTGTTTTCTGCGATGCGAGGAGCGAGAGCGGGATCGAGAGTGGCGCTTCCTGCGGTGAGAGGAGCGAGAGCTGGATCGAGAACGGCGCTTTCTATGGAGCTGCCTATGCCGCTCTCGCTCGTGTTGCCGTTCCCTCTCCCGCTCCTTCTCCTCCTCCCGCTCGCGCTTCTCTGTTCGCCTGTGCCTTTGCCTTTCTTGACTTCGGCTTCCACTTCGGCAGCGACTGCGACTGTGTCCTCTCTTCCGAATGCTAGGGAGCTCACTGACAGCAGCCTGCACTTGCTGTCTCTGGAGCGCCTCCATCTGCAGATCGACCAGCTGGCGCAGTTCCTCGTTGAGCGTGGGCTTGCTTTTGCGATGACGGCGACGCTTCTGCTGATCTCGCTTCGTCACGCCCACCAGCTCAGCGAAGGCGGCGTTGTCCTCCTCGAATCCCGGATACTTTGCAGTCCGTTGCAGCACATACTCATAGAGCTGCAGGCGCTGGCCGGCACCAGCCTTGTTGGCGTCCGTTCCCAGAATTTGCTGCAGAGCCACTCTATCCAGTTGGACGCTAAACGCGGGATTGTTACAGCAGGAGGGTGGCAGTTCCTCGGTCGATTTAGGCGGCGTCTTTTCGGTGGAACGGTGGTCCTGTGAAAAGGCAAGCAAGACTAGTTATAGCCTTTTCGCCAGTCTCTATCTTTCTCACTGAGACTTGCCGCTTTTACACCGGCTTCGCTCCATTGCAACTGTTGCAGGAGGGCATGCAGGCGGTTCCGGCTGCTGGCCACGAAGAGGCGCAACTGCTGCCGGTGCTCAGCCAACGTGTCCTCAGTTCCAGACATTGATTTGCCACCGAAAGGTCAGCAAAACAAAATTGAACTGCGAAAAAAAACCAAAACGAAACAAGAAACAGTGTTGCCGAAGACGCAAATACCATGGCCAGTGCTGGAAAACGCAGCGTATATTTAGAATCCTTTACATTTCGCGGGATTTGGAATTGGAATCGGGGGAGATCTACACCTGGTGCACAGCCGAGGGCCATTCAGGTCCAGAAAAGAACGGTAAAGGCCATTATCACACAGGCGGCTCCCACCCACGGTGACTTGCGTTCGCCAATCCTCGCCAGCTTCCAAAACGAGCCCAGTAAGCTGCACGAAGAAAGTACAAGTGGGAGCATTAATGGGCCTGTAATTCGCTGCTCGGGGGCATCCCGGCATCACCTACCCGGTCTTGTTGCGATCAATGATGCTGGGGAACAGCGAGCGGAGGTAGGCGCATGTGCAGATCAGCAGGAGGATGACCGACAGCAGGCTCTGGAAGTTGAACAGCGCACTCTGTAAATGAAAAGACAAGCGGTTAGACCTGGTACGCTCCTGGCACTCGGAAAGGATTCAGACCATGACTTTGCCGAGAATCGAACAACGAAAGGAAAACAAGTGACGTGCTACTGGGCCGGCTGCGTTGCCAGACTTTTCGGACTAAACATATGTGGTTTAAGCTTTTGAGATTTTTTAGGGAGAAAGCCAAATTTCCATCTGGCAACACTGGTCCCCCGAAAAGCCAGTTGACATTGAAGCTATCTTTAAAAAGTCGCCGGTTATATAGAACGAGGCTAATCGCAGTCGCCGCGCAGTTACGTTTAGGCAGCGAACGCAGGAGGAGATCCCAGACAAGATGGCCACAGCACTCAAGTTCGCAGCGAACCTCAACTTTCTGTTCACCGAGCGGGCGGCGACGATCGCCGAGCGCATACGGCTGGCCCACCAAAACGGCTTCCGGGCCGTGGAGATACCCTATCCGGAGGGCGAGACAAGCGCCGTGGTGGATGCCGTGCGGGAGACGGGCATTGTGGTCAGCCTGATTAACCTGGCCTTCGACAAGACCAGCGACCAGTTGCGCTTCGGCTCCACCAGTGTGCCCGGCGCCGAGACCCTGTTCCGCCAGCAGCTGGAGAGCACTATCGGTTTCGCCAAGCAGGTTAACTGCGGCAAGATTCATTTAACCGCCGGCCTCCTGCCCCCCGGCGGTCGGGAGAGCGACTACACGGCTACGTATACAGCCAATCTAAAGATCGCCGCCGATAGCCTCAAAGCCAGCGAGATGATCGGCGTGATAGAGCCAATTAACAAGTACGCCGTGCCCGGTTACTTCATGAACTCGTATGCCAAGGCAGCTGGCGTTCTTGGTGCTGTGGGTGCCGACAACCTGAAGCTACTGGCCGACATCTATCACCTGCAGCACCTGCATGGCAACGTGTCCAAGACGCTGGAGGAGTACAAGGGCCTGATTGGCCACTTCCAGATTGCCCAGGTTCCACACCGCCACGAACCGGACGTGGCCGGGGAGCTGGACTACGGCTATGTGTTCAAGGCCCTCCAGGAGTTTGGCTACCAGGACTGGGTGGGTTGCGAGTACAAGCCCAAGACGACGACCACCGAGGGTCTAAGCTGGGTGGCCAGGCTGGGCTATGCACTGTGATCGGGATTAATGCATTTTATATATTTAAAAAAAAAAAAAAAAAGAGTTGTATTTACACATTTTACAAAACATAAAACAACAAAGGTTGAATTTACAATCGGATAACTTGTCATGTTTAGCCGCCGTGAAAAGGTCATGGAGTTGACCTACACAGACACGGCGGTTGGGAGACTCATTCCCGATTAGATAAGATTAGATTGCCTGGGATCCCTGGCTGTCACTCTCGCTCTGAAGCACCCGCTTGGCATATTCGGCGACATGGATTATGCCGTGTTCTGGCGAGGCTATGTGCAGGTTGTGGCCATTGCAAAACTTCGTGTTGATGTAGGGATTGTGCAGCTCGGCCACCAGGGTATGGCAGGCCGTGGAGGAGTCGCCCGTGGACTTGAGCATTTTCTGCAAAGCAAAAATAACAAGATAAATATTTAGATTAGCTATAAAAATGGTTAATTAACATAAGAAGAAGGGAGATGAGTCTGCGGTAACTGTTTTAAGGCAGCTCTTCTTGAAATTGAAATCAAAAAAGATTTAAGTTTAGGTTTTTTATGAGGAATTAGATGTTTGTATGTTTCCTAGAGGCCTGAGCTGGACAGTATCAGCAGTGGAAGTTTTCCATTTAGCGGTCTCATATCTTCTATTTTTTATACCCTTGCAGGGTATTATAATTTCAGTCAGAAGTTTGCAACGCAGTGAAGGAGACCTTTCCGACCCTATAAAGTATATATATTCTTGATCAGCATCAACAGCCGAGTCGATCTAGCCATGTCCGTCTGTCCGTCTGTCCGTCTGTCCGTCTGTCCGTCTGTCCATCTGTCCGTCTGTCTGTTTCTACGCAAACTAGTCCCTCAGTTTTAAAGCTATCTGAATGAAACTTTGCATATAGTCTTCTATATGCTCTCACTGCTATATATGTCGGAACGGGCCGGATCGGACGACTATATCATATAGCTGCCATACAAATGTTCGATATATTTTTAGAAAAAAAATTATAACTTTGCTGTTTTTCAACATTTTTGCACCATTTTTTTAGATATGGCCACTCTATATTATTTAAGAATTTTGGTAAAAATTTTATGAAAATCGGACGACTATATCTTATAGCTGCCATAGGAACGATCGGGAAATTAATCGAAAAAAAATTATAACTTCGTTGTTTTTCAACGTATTTTCATCTACTTTAAGTTATAAGCTTTTTTTATTATTCTAGAATTTTGGTATAAATTTTATAAAAATCGGACAACTATATCATATAGCTGCCATAGAAGCGATCGGCAAATGTATAAAATATGTAAAGCTGGGAATGTAAAACTGTAACTGTCAAACTGTAAACATAATAAGTATAGGTAAAATGTAATGAAACTCTGTTTTGTGAGTGTTTTCAGCATTTAAATCTATAATATAAACATCGAAACCAATCTGCAAGGGTATAAAAACTTCGGCGTGCCGAAGTTAGCTTCCTTTCTTGTTTTGTAATCATATATATGAAGTCAAAACCACAATGTTTTGGGTAGTCCCTGCGGTCAAGCCGAAGCTTGATAATTATGTTTTTAAAGTATTGACACAGATAAACCCATAAATAACCCACAGGTAGGTCATCCTCCCCCGCCCCGCTACTTACCATCCAAAACTCATTGCCGGGCAAGGCATTGCCATCCCAGGCATAGGACACCACCAGCAGCATGTTTTCCATCTCTGGACTAGCCAGTTTCGTGGCCGGATTCCTCTTTGATATCAACACACGTATTCCCTTCTCCGGATGCCCCTTGATCTTCACCAAGTTTCCATTGCGCAGATCGCCGCAATCGTTGATGGAGAACCAGGAGAAATGCACAATGCCCACATGGCTGAGCCTGCTGCCCAGCGTGCGCATGCGCTGCTCGAAAGTCTCCAGGAAGATGCGCTCCTGCTGGGGTGCCACCTTCCACACGCCCAGGCCGAAACCCACCACATGGACATAGGCCAACTTGTTGAGCAACTTGGCCCTCGCCTGAGCCTCCAGCAGCAGCAGGTCAAAGCTGATGGCATAGCGCCGCTTCATCACCAGATTGTCAAAGACATCCGCCTTGTTGCCCGAGCGACCGAAACGCTGGTTATCAATAGAGGCCTGGCCATGGAGCAGATCCCGGGTGGCATAGAAGCCACGCCAAAGCCGGCGGTAGTCCTCGGCTTTCGTGTTTGCCGGAGCATCCAGCGCCAGGCCGTAGCCCTTTTCTCGGGTGTTTTGGGTGCGCGCTATTACAATATCCTGGAATTCCATAAGATTGCGACGCGACAGGCGGGCTCCAATCATGCCCACAATGACGCCGCTTGGCTCTAAAGTCTGTGAGCCTCTGGCCACGCGCCCGCAGTTGGCACGCTCGCCCTCGTTGATGAACTCGGTGTGCGAGCTGACGGACAGCAGGGCGGACAGCTTGACATCATCGTAGCTGAGGACGTTGGCCAGGACCAGCGGTGGATGCTCCTCCAGTGTGCCAATGCTCTCAAAGCCGCTGGCTCCCTTCTCGCCGCTTAGCAAGAGGTACTTGTCGTTGCGGGCAAAGAAGCTGGCGCAGCGCTTCTCCAGGAGACGCTGCACAAAGCAGCAGAGGGACAGGGGCTGGTAGATGGGCTTCTCCAAGGAGTTGCCTGTGTGCAGAGTAAGTCTTAGCTGGCTAAAGAGGAGGAGCAACAGCAGGAGACTCACCCCAGCGGCACTTGTGCTCCAAATACTGCAGGTAGAGGCCCAGAGTACGCTCATGTATCACCGGATAGACGGAGGCGATTTGCTCATTGATGCTGGCCAGCCTGTTGGTGCTCTGCCTCTTCACCCGGACACTCTCTACGCCGAACTTGGGCAAGGAATAAGCGTAAATTAAAGGTGATTTGTGGGCTGGCAAGGATTACCCACCTCGAGGGGAAAAGTCCTGGAGTTTTCCATTAACTTAGACGCCTCCTCTGGACCCGAAACTGGCTTCTTCACCTGCCGGCAATCCTGCAAAAGCTTGCGTCCGAAATCCGTCAGGGGTTGGGAATCCCCGGCCACAGGTGGCCAAACCTGGTCAACGTCAGCTCCGAATGTGGACATGTTAAAGATCCTAATTAAACTGAAGACCAATGATGTTTCACAAATGCTCTTGACTCTTGAATTTCACATTGTGATGTGGAATTTCGCAATTTTGTTTAATTTGGAAAATTGCAGTATTTCTTATTTTGTTTTGAAGCCTTTCCAGTGTGACCGCCAGTCAAAGCGGTATTTATCAGTATTTTCCACAATACGCTTACGGTGTGGCAACACCGGCCACTCTCGACCAGGTGGCAACTGTGTGACTGTGTGAAAAATTGCAATTTTTTTCCATTTAACACACACACACAGGCGCAACACACACGCAAGCAGTAGCGCGCAGCGAGAGGAGCAAAACGCCGCAGAAAAACGCCCATCAATTTCCTCGAGCGGACCGTAAGCGGTTAGGAAAGCGAACGGACACCAAGCAGGATTGGGACAGGACGGCCAAATCGCCGCCGCCACAGCCACCGACGAGCCACAGCGACGACATTCCAGGAGTGGAGAGGCGGGGCAGCCCGAGCGAGAGCCAGCAGCAGCAGAAGCAGAAGAGGAAGAAGAAGCCGATTCGAGATTATCAATTATGAATTTCCTGGGCTTTGGCCAGTCAGCGGACATTGAGATAGTCTTTGATGGAGCCGAGCACAAGACAGCGGAGGTCAAGGGCGAGGATGGCAAGGTGGAGAAGATGCTGCTCTTCTACGACGGCGAAACGGTGTCCGGCAAGGTGCGTTTAAGAGTTGTCCATTCTCTCAACGAAGGGGAAATCTCCTTACCCTTATCATACCCAGCGTCCGCATCCGTTTCCGTTTCCCCCATTCTCATGTCTCTCCCTTTGTTTCCCCTCTTTCCTCCGGCTTTTATCTAGGTGAACGTGACCCTGAAGAAGCCGGGCAACAAGCTGGAGCACCAGGGCATCAAGATCGAGTTCATTGGCCAGATCGAGCTGTTCTATGACCGCGGCAACCATCACGAGTTCAAGTGTTTGGCCAAGGCCCTGGCCCGGCCCGGTGATCTCATCCAGAACAACAGCTATCCGTTCGACTTTCCCAATGTGGAGAAACAGTTTGAGGTCTATGCGGGCTCCAATGTGCGACTAAGGTACTTCCTGCGCGCCACCATCGTCCGTCGGATCAGCGACATTACCAAGGAGGTGGACATTGCGGTGCATACGCTGTGCAGCTACCCGGAGATGAACAACCCCATCAAGATGGAGGTGGGCATCGAGGATTGCCTGCACATCGAGTTTGAGTACAACAAGAGCAAGTATCATCTGCGGGACACGATCATTGGCAAAATCTACTTCCTGCTTGTGCGCATCAAGATCAAGCACATGGAGATAGCCATCATCAAGCGGGAGAGCACCGGCACCGGGCCCACCATGTTCAATGAGAACGAGACCATAGCCAAGTACGAGATCATGGACGGGGCGCCGGTTAAGGGTGAGAGCATACCCATTCGTGTGTTCCTAGCCGGCTACAATCTCACGCCCACCATGCGGGACATTAACAAGAAATTCTCGGTCAAGTATTTCCTCAATCTGGTGCTAATGGACACCGAGGATCGGCGCTACTTCAAGCAGCAGGAGATTACGCTGTGGCGCAAGGCGGATATTCCACGTTACCACAGCGCCCAGCAGCAGCAACAGCATCATCAACAGCACCAGCATGTGCCGCTGCATGCGCCGCCGCATCTGGTCAGCGGTCCGGCAGCCCCCACGGTGGCCCACTCCCTGATCAGCTCCAGCAGTGGCGAGGCGGGCGGAGCACCTGCCCCGGCCGGTTCCGGATCCGAGTCCAAGATGGGCCTGTTCACCAGAGAGAGCCCGAATCAGGAGTTTAGCCAGCAGCAGCTGGACTCGCCGCCGCTGACGCCCAGTGAGCGTAACGAGGAGCCAACGCCTGCGACAGCCTCAGCCGTTACCGCCGCGTCATCTGCCCCAGAACCGACCCCCGAGCGGGGCATGGGCGATGGTGCTGCAGCGGCCACCACAAGTGTCTCGCCAGTGGCCATGCTTTCCAGTTCGCCGCCGCCGCTGCTGCCAGGATCACCACACTCGGTGGAGCAGGTGCCGCAGAACGAGCTGGTGGAGGAGGAGGAGGAAGAGGATGCTGCTGGAGCTGCCACTACGAAAAAGGTGAGCGCCACGCCGCTGGCCGCCGATTGAGTGGGGGAGCTGGGGCAGTAGCCAGAGCAGAAGGAACTATTACGCATACAATATTCGTATACAGCAGCAGGAGCAGGAGCAGCAGCATCAGCAGCGGCAACAAAATATGCATATATCTATTTTTTTAAAGTTAATTTAAAATTGTTAAAAAATGTTTTATTGAGGTTATGCGCATCATTTACCAAAAGCAAAAAAACTAAACACAAACAAACAAAACCACAAAAAAACGCAAATGATAGTAACGAAATAACGAAATCGAAACCTAGGACAAATGAGAGAGAGCTATTGTATATCCAAATCTCTGGAGATCCAGAATCTCTGGGAGATACATTTTTGGTATTATTGATAAATGAGAAGCGAGAGCAGTTCATCCAGTCCGAAGCCAGTCAACTCCCCGATGACCTGACCATCATTCCCCGACTTTACCCGTTTTTTGGAAAATTTGATTTTTCAACTCAATGAAAAATGTTGAAATTACTTACTAAAAGTGAGAAGAAAAACAAAACCCTGAAATCAAAATGTGCATTAAACTAAAACGGATAACAGCAAATACAACTAAAAAAAAAAAAGCAAAACTTACACACTTGAAAAAATAAACCCCAAAAAACAAGAACAAGACATACAACCCTTAAATAATAAAGTTTTAGTCTAAAAATTACTAACAAATCGATGCTGGGAAGGTTCTGGATGGTTGGATGGATGCAAAGAGCCACGAATTACAATGTTACATGCCTTGCATATGTACATAACACAGTTCATATATGTCGGAGATATCCGTTATTTAATTTAACCGTAGTCGAGCCAGCGAGTTCTGTTCGCCTGCGCAGTCAAATCGAATCTGTCATCACGCCACTTTTCCTGTGGCCCTTTCACCTTTTCTTACTTTTCACTCAGATGTCATTCCTAGACAATCTCAAGCTGTCTCTCTCATTCTCTCCTATTGTTGCGACAGACGAACAGACCTCACTCAGTAACACTCCTGTTACCGACTCAACTGTCATTGCGCCTGCGCGCCAGCGACACCTACAGGGCTACCAATACCTGAGCATGCCGAATAACTCTGTTGCCATAGCAACAAGCTTTCCAAATTTGCACTTAGCAACCAACTCGCCGACACGGCCATCCTGACAATTCACGCGTCCTCGCGTGACGTGTCTTCTAATAGCTCTAAACATAACTGTCATTTATCATTCTCTCTTTTTTTCTCTCTTTGGTCTCAACTTAACATTTCATTTTATCTGTTTTATTCATGTCAAATAAGCTTTACTTTTATTTCTTCTCGCCACTTCATTCTCTTCTCGTACCAAATCTGTATCTTCTTTCTCTGCTCGTACCACAACTCTTACTCAACATCTCTTCATCAATTTATACAGGCTCTTGCTGCACACTTTGCAACGCTCACACGCACCTCTTGCGTCACGGTCTCTCTGGACCCTCACAGCCTTATAAATGATTCCACCAACGAGTGCCTCAGTCGGCGATCTCTCGCTTACACTTCTAGTGTCTTCAAATGTTAGTTTGGCAGGATAACCTTTCGAAACCATAGAGTACAAGCTCTTTTCGTATTTCAAAAGGCTCCGCTTCACATATTCTGACCATAGGAATAAAGTAGGCCCCGTTTCATGTGATCCGACACGGCCTTCCTGACAAATCACACGTCCTCGTGTGTTAACTTTAAATCACAGTATTCTAAAATTTCGGTACTCGTTACATTTTATTGTCAACAAACATTTCATTAATTTTCTAAACATAAGTATTGAGGCATTTAGACAAAATAAGCATCTTGGTTTCATGATAACATAACAAATTACATCTTCATTTTAATCATAATTTACAATTCAGACTTCTCTAATTACATAGCTTTATCAACTGGTGTATTTCCTTTTACACCCACATACTGACCCCCGCCATAACAATTCCTTCTGTTATGGTGCGGTCTCCACTGACCCCCCGCCATAACAATTCCTTCTGTTATGGTGCGGTCTCCACTGACCCCCGCCATAACAATTCCTTCTGTTATGGTGCGGTATATTGGTAGAACTATGTGTCTTGTGGAGTCCAAGTAGCTTTCATATGAATTGGAAACATTGGTTGGCGTACTATTATTCTAACATTTTTGGCATTATTGGCTCAGATGAGAGTTCGTAGTCTATACTGACTGCAAATGTAATCATTGCGGAAATAATTGAAATTAAGTGCATCATCGGTGGCCATACTTAAAATCGTATGATTTTAAAATATAGTATGTGGATTTATTTTTGTGTCCAGAATTCACGTGACTGATTTCAGGATTTATTGATATAGTTTATAAACAACTAAAGATAATTGAAATTAAATTGAGTTACAAAGAGGGGTTTTAAAAAAAAATACAGAGAGGTGTGAGGTAGTGTTGTCTGCCAGTAGTGTCCCTTAAATTTTGTTGGTTGATTATTAATCAAAGTTATAAATCCGTTATGTATTTGGGTTAAAAAAAAAAAAAAATAAAATAGACTCAGCAAGATTTATCAATGTTGTTGGAAATGACTAAGTTTAAAGATTGTTGAAAGTTGTATAATGTGTAAAGCTCTAAAGTAGTCATCTGGCTGGATACCAGGACCGCAGAGGTGATGGCAAGATGCTCTTGGCGGGGTGCAACTTGCGGCGAACTGCACAGTTAGTAGTGCAATCAATGCAAGTCCTTAAGAGATGCCAATCGGACCCATCCTCTGGGCTTGATACCACCACATGACAGAGAAAAGTATAGACAAAGAAAAGTTTAAAGTTGTGTTATGCTGAGCTGTCGGTAAAATGGTGCAAAAGGAAGAGCACTAAGATTAAAGGCAAGATGAATTTAAAATGGAAGAGCTGTTAAGAATGAGAAAGGAAAGAAAAAAAAAGGATAAAGGAATGAAGATGGAAAATTAAGATGAAGAACGGCACCAAACAGAGCTGGATCCGAAGAGGACCCTTTGTCATTATAGAAAAGCTTGATGGTGGCCGATATGTTTTGAGATATTTGTCGAGTAAGCGAAATTTTAAGTAGTTGCCTGCGATGCCTGTTGAGGTAGATGCAGATGAATGCGAGAGATCGCCGACTGAGGCACTCGTAGGTACCATAAAATCAAAGCAAGAGATCTGTATTTTAAGATGGTTGAGGTAGTGCCATACACAGGGACTAAATTTGAATGATTGTGTGAAGCGTCGCTAAGGTGCGGCAAGAGTCCGGTACTGTGGTATGTGTGTGTGGTAGCCAGACGATTGAACTTGAGCAGAAGAGAGCGTGTACTCTAAACGGTGTGTTAAGGAATATCCTGCTAAGTTAATGTCTGATGGAATGCAAAATTGATATCCAAACTGTTGGGTTTGTGCGGAAGAGAGCGTGTACTCTATTGTCGTAAAAGATTATCCCGCCAAACCAACGTTTGAAGACACTAGCAGTGTAAGCTAATTGATATTGAAGAGTTATGTAGAGCAGTATGAGTAAAGAAGCTAAGTGATGATTATTGCGAAGTTATGGCAATGAAGGTTGAGGCCAATTTTATGTAGAACTAAGCAACACGAGGTCGTGTTATAGTCAGGAAGGCCGTGTCGGAGATTACCCTGAAATGTCAGTTGTAATTACTATTTGTAAGTCTCCAAGTGTATCGAATATGGAAATAAAGGAAGAGTAAAATAAGTAACAACGAGAGAATAGGAAGAGAACTTATTAAGAAAGAGCGTGGTGGGGAAAAAGAGAGTATTCCCTACCGAGTGTGGCGCAATGACGAGTAGAGAAGGACGAGAAAGTAGAGAAAGGGAAAAGTGCAAGTCAGAGATATCCGTTATTTAATTTAACCGTAGTCGAGCCAGCGAGTTCTGTTCGCCTGCGCAGTCAAATCGAATCTGTCATCACGCCACTTTTCCTGTGGCCCTTTCACCTTTTCTTACTTTTCACTCAGATGTCATTCCTAGACAATCTCAAGCTGTCTCTCTCATTCTCTCCTATTGTTGCGACAGACGAACAGACCTCACTCAGTAACACTCCTGTTACCGACTCAACTGTCATTGCGCCTGCGCGCCAGCGACACCTACAGGGCTACCAATACCTGAGCATGCCGAATAACTCTGTTGCCATAGCAACAAGCTTTCCAAATTTGCACTTAGCAACCAACTCGCCGACATATACATAATAAACACGAAATACGAAAATATATATACACACATATATACACTTAGAGAACCGCAATTAAACGAATAAAGGCGATGAGAGAGCGCTAAAGCTAAACACAAAATATATTTCGAGTTGAGTAAGGAAGGGTTTTTGGGGGTAAAGTGGTTTTTGTTAATTTTAAAATTAATTTTAATTTTATAAATCAATATAGACTGGGTTTTTTACTTTTTTTCATAGCAAAGTAAAAGCACTAAAACAGATTTCTAGACAAGTTAAAGCTTAGGATTCTGGTTCATTGATAAACCTCCTTAGAGGATCTTCTGCTATCCTAAAAATCCAACAATTCCAACCACTACATAATTTCCATTAAAAACCTATATTTATTCAACACAAAGCTGGGATTTAACAGTGCGCCTCTGAACATAAAGCTAGTCCCAGGCCTCCTTGATCTTAAGCTGGTTCAGTCGCTCCTCAATGGTCACGTGCGGCTTCATTTTGCGCAGCGTCTGCTCGTCCGTCCACTTGGCCACCAGCTTCTCGCGCTTCTGCAGCTCCTTGGCATGTCCCGAGGATTGTTCCTATAAGCATAAGACGTTATTAAATTATATTGTATTGGTTCTGTTTCAGCGGAGGACTCACCAGTGTCAGGTAGGGATGCCGGAGCAGCAGCATCACCTGCTCCTGGCGCTCGTACTCGCGGGTTAGTGTGTCCATTGCCCGCTGGCTAACCGGCTTGACCAGACGCCGCTTGCCACGGAATATGTGACCCGGCACGGTTTTCTTGAAGAAGTTGATCAACGTCACTCGCATTTCGTTTGGCTAAGCCTTTTAATTCTTAATTCATACAAAAAAAAACACAAAAATAATCAATTTATTTTAATTTCTGTTGCACAAGTTTGGGGCAAGTGTGACCGGGTCTCGTTAGGATTGCCATAGGCGAGAAATATACTAAAACTACTACTGGAGCATGGCCTCCAAGATGACGTCAAAAATACCAAGAGCGAAGATGAGCTAAATCTGAGTGGATTAGAAAATGAGTGAAAATAGTCACTCAGCTCAATTTAAAAATTTAAATGAAATTAAAGAATTAAAGATCAACAATGTTGTTTTTGTAAATAGGAGTTGTTGTACAACAGTTTTGTTGTTGTTGTGGGCAAAAAAAAAAAAAAAAAACGAAAAGTAGGCTCTGAGAGCCTGGACTGACAAGAAGTAGTTCACTCAAAAATCCTAGTCTGAGCCGAACATTAAAGCTAAGCGAACGGAAATATTTTTATTCTATTTTGCTACAAAAAACCGTTCTTAGTCAAAAAATTTGGATTCAAAAAGTTGGTTAGAAAAAGGCATTTGGTCGCCAAGCTTATTTGTCTTTGAGATATAAAAACCCGAACTCACTGTAAAACTTGTTGAATTCGTTTGATCCGTGGAGTTTCAAGTTTATTAAACCTATTATGATGGCAAAGAATGTTTACTCACCAAAGGCAGAAAACCTGTCTCGACATGAGATACTGGCTTGGGTAAACGAAACTCTTCAGGCAAACATCAAGAAAATAGAGGAACTCTGCTCAGGTGAGTGTCGTCTAGAAAGCCTTCCTTTGAGCAGACCCACCTCCACGTCCCCTAACAGGTGCCGCGTACTGCGTTTTAATGGATAAACTGTTTCCCAACTCAGTACAGCTGAAAAGGGTCAAAATGGAAGCTAACCAGGAACACGAGTTCCTCAACAATTTTAAGATATTACAGGGGGGTTTTAAAAAGATGTCGGTAGAAAAGGTAATAATTTTAATGTATATATTATATATTTTTAATAAATTTTACTTAATTATTTATTTAATTATTTATTAGTTTATACCCATTGAGAGATTGGTTAAAGGTCAATTCACCGACAATTTGGAATTCTTGAAATGGTTTAAAAAATTCTATAATGCCAATGATAAAAGCAAGGATAATGCTTGTAGCGAGGTCCATGAAGGTGGGATTTTTAAAATCTATTTACATTTATAATTTAAAATATTGTCTGTTTAATCTACAGATACTAGCTTATTTCTAGACACATCCAAGAACGACTCCAACTTAATTCTAGACGAGACCAAGACCGACTCTAGCTTTGCGCTTGCAGGGACTGATCAGTACTTGGAAGAGGAGTCCGAGGCCCAGGGAGATGGCATGCCTGAACCTATGACAGAAGCCGACTTCAGCTTCACAACTGATCAGCCCTTGGAAGAGGAGGAGGAGGCCATGTCAAGTGAAGACGCTGGGCTTCAAATGACGAGTTCCATGCTCTTACTAGTTTGGATGGAGCGCGACTTTTACTATTCTAAATTGCGCAGAATCCAGGTTTTGTAGGTTGACTTGTTCTGGACTGGCCGGACCTGTGATCTAATCTACTAAATACCTTCCCTTTTAAGGTGTGGTGAATCTGAATGTCCTGAAGAGAAGGCGGTTTTGCAGCGCATTTTAGACATCGTGAAATCGTCTGCTGTAAGTAATTTTCTTGGGTTTAGGTTCAACCTTATTATTTTATTGCACATTTCAGCATGACTATGCACTGCCATATAGTTCTTCAGAGCAGGAAGAACAGGAAGAAAATTAAATATGAAACAAAATCTGGAAAAGCATGTTGAGCAGAAACAGAAGCAAGCAAACACTCAACGGTATTCATTTGTTGTCAACTGGAATTTATACCCCTAATTTACCCAAAATTTATATCGGTTTAAATACTAATTAAATTAAATGCTAAATAACAGAGTCGAAGGCCTTAGATGCTATGGCTCTTTACCCATAGTTAGCTTTTAGTTTAATACTTTTTGTTAGCTTTAGATAAATAAATAAATAAATAAATGCTAAATAACATGATTTTTGCAAACGCTAAGACTTGAAGCACAAATATAATGCCAAAACATGTCTTGTATTTCAAATATAGCGGGCTGTTAATAAAGTGTGACCGCATCAGTTGCCCAAACAAAATATACTAAAAAACTGCTGACAGGGATAGATATTTTTAGAACCCGCTCCAAAACGTACTCTTAACGTTAAATAATTTTTTAAAAAAATTTAACAAAATATTTAAACAAATGAACTAAACATTTATAGAATGCTTTCATGCTTTCATCAGCTTCAGCCACCTGGTCACACTGTTGGAACCGCGCACGTGTGAAGAAACCGAAGATCGCCGCCAGTCCAGCGATCCGGAGGAACAACGATAACCCATAGCCAAAATGGCAGACGCCGTGGAGGCCCTTTTCATCAGCACCGGCAGCGAGGACAACACAACATGCAGTGTCCAGGACCTGCGGACCGGTACCGATCTCATGCGCTACAAGGGCGGCGGCATTGCCCAGCACCACGGCCTGGCCATGATCAGTCTCAGCCATGTCTTTGCGGCAAATTCAGCCAAGCCCCTGATCCATGTCTGGCCCATCAACAAGCAGGAGCAGATGGCCAGCCTGCGGTTTGTGGTGCCCGGCAAGGTCAATGCTTTGGCCCTAACGCCCGACGGCTGCTTCCTGGCGGCGGGCATCCAGGAGAACATCTATCTGTGGCACATGAACACCGGCCGTATGCTAAACACCTTGTCCAAGCATTACCAAGCCATCACCTGCCTGCGATTCACCGACAATGGGGAGCACTTTATCAGCGGTGGCAAGGATGGCGCCGTGCTCGTCTGGGATTTGACCTTTGCTGCTGCTCCGTTGGACACGGGCAGCAGTGGGCAGGATAGTACTGAGCCACTGTACAGCTTCAATGATCACGGTTTGGCCGTAACGGATGTGTATTCGGGCTTGGGAGGCATCCGGTCGCACCTCTTCACCGTCTCCCTGGATCGCTGCTGCAACATTTATGACCTTCTTGGGGGCAGCCAGCTGCTAAGCGTAGTCTTTCCAGTGGCTCTGCACAGTGTAATTGTCAACCGGCTGGAGACGCATGTCTATGTGGGCTCCGGCGATGGCAAGGTGTACGTCTTTCATATGGAAAAGACGCCGCGCATGAAGGTTGGTTCTCAGATATATTCTGTGTCTTTCAGTTCAAATGAATTTCTGTTCCTTACCAGGAATACCACGTGGAGGAGGATGAGCTGCAGGCCTTTGTGGGTCACACTGCTGGCAAGGCCATCACCAGCTTGGCCTTGAATATGAGCTCCACATCACTGGTGTCCGGCGGCGAGGATAACCAGGTGTGCGTGTGGGATGTGGGCAGCCGACAGCTAATCAAAAGCTTGCCACAGACGGGCTCCGTGACGAACCTGTGCATCCGTCTGCTTACCCCCAGCGTGTTTCTGCCGGAGCACAAGCACACGCAGCCCTTTGCCGACACTCTGAAGCGTATGATTACGCCGCGAACCAAGGACGATTACATTGAATTGCTGGTCACCGAGGAGTACGCCAAGGGACGGAAATCCCCCGAGCCGGACCTCACGGAGTGTTACCCGGGCACGGATACGGAAATACTACGCAAGCTGATAGCGTCCATGTATATGAGCAAGTCCCAGAAAGACAAGGATGAGGGGGAGGCGGAGGAGGAGGAGCAGGATGAGTTGGAGGCAGAGGATGAGTCTGATGCGGAGGAAGACGAAATGGAAGTAGAAGACGAGGCAGCAAATGAAGAGCTGAGTAGAGACGATGTCCAGGTAGAAGGAGAGGATGAGGAAGACGATGTCGAGGCGGACGAAGAGGAAGAGGAGGCGGAAGAAGAGGAAGACGAGGACGCAGACCCTGACGAGTCCATGGAGAACTCTGCCTCTGCCAATGGCGTTGATGTCCAGAAGCTCCTCGAGGAGAATGCACGCCTCAAGGAGGAATCCAAGCGATTATTTGACATCGTGTTCCAGTACATCTCCACCAGCAATTCATCGTCCGCCAAGCCAGGCGACTCCGCCATCAAGACGAAGCGCAAGAAGCCGAGTCAGAACTAGTCCTTAGAGCTGCTTTCAATTACATTTACTTAGAGATTAGGAACCAATAATACATGATACAAAAAAAAACGAAACAATTGACGGGAATTGGGTGCTCAAAACAAACAAATAACTGGTGGCCAGGTGGCCAGGTGTCCCCTACTTGGCTTCGTTGCCCGACTTTTGCCCATCCATGTTGTCATCCTCCGGCTGCTCGGCATTGTCCTTCTCCTCGGCCAGCAGGCGACGTATTTCCCTGTTGGAGTCGAGGAGCTCGCGGAGCTGCGACATTATGTCGTCCGTGCGCTGCTCCACGGCATCTAGGGCGCAGCTCAGCTCGTCCAGACTTTGATTCACATCCTCCATCTCTGCAGGAGGCACCAAATAAGTGAGGCAATCCCAACGAGCGTTGCTCTCTGCCCAAAAAAAGACTTAAACTCACCCTGCAGATCGGCCTCTTGGACATTGGCGCTACCGGAGTCGCCGGAGGAGGTGGGATCGTGGTTGTTCTTCGGTGACATATTGCCTGGTGGACTGTCTGCCGTCGCCACTTGTGCTGGGTGATTCTTATATTCCAGTTTCAGCTGTTTTTTTTAATGTTTTTATTTGTAAACTCCTATTGTCACGGGACAGCAGCAGGGTTGCCAGATGTAACTTTGGATTTGGACCTAAAAAATCTCATAAAAGTTTAAATACCCCCCGAGAAATATCCCCCTAAATTAAATTATTTATTTTAATTTATGCTCTACGACGTAACATTACGAGGTTTTTAAAAAATTTGGAATAAAGAAAAGTTGGGGAATATCCCCTGATCTGGGAATACTGGGACAGCTAGAGATGGGAGAAACTTGCTATAATTTTAGTATTTTTTGCTTTGCTGTTGGTATTCTTGGTTTGGGGCTGAGCTTTGGTCCCTCTGCTGACATAACGTAACAACAAAAACAACTCGCAAATTAACAAAAATACAATGAACAAATGCCTTAAGTGCCAGCCCCACCACCGGCTATTGCTTACCCAAGTGAGTGTCCGCCTTAAGGGATCATCCCACGAATCCAATTCAATTTATTCTACCTGCATTCAAACAGCTAACGCGCTGCTATGCCGCCGCGGGGCCCGAGAAGTCGGCGCCCATCAGTGGTAACGGCGGCCTGGCCAACAAGCCCGACCCGCAGGACATAAAGTGTGACTACATTGGCCCACCGGATGCCCAGTCCAACCTGCGGCCCTATGTGCGTCACTATGACGACAGCGAGACGACGCTGGCGCGAAACCTGCGGCTCAAACGCAACGAGGTGGAGGCCTGGAATATGGACTTCTGGACGCGGCACAACAAGCGCTTCTATGAGGTAATGGTGGATAGAGTTCATACCTTGTTCGTCCCAATGCATGCCGTCTCTTTCTCTTTCGCTGGCACACAGGAAAAGGACGACTTTGTGCGCCTGCACAAGGAGAGCGGCACTGAGGAGGTCTCCGCCGACCAGATGAGCGAGTTCTATAAGACGTTCCTGGACAAGAACTGGCGCATTCACCTGATGTACAACATCTCCTGGTACCTCAAGAACTTTGATATCCTCACCTTGGCCGCCGGCGTGCAGCTGCAGCGTCTTGTGGCGCGTGCTAAACCACGATCGTAACTGTAGCATCGTAGCATCCTAGCTCGTAGACTTCCCTTTGTTTAATTGTTATTAAAGTCTAGAACATAAAGAATTCCGGAGTTTATGGAAGTGGGATGGGGGGTGGGGTGGGATTGAAACATACCCATTTTCCCCCAAAATAAAACTTCTCCTTTAAAATGGTGGCATACAGGTTTTACTTAACTTAAGGGGGCTTGAAAAATACACTTTGCTTGGAGTTTGTTATGCTTAAACGTACGTAAACTGCAAAAACTAATTAAAAAATAAAATAAAAATATATATATATACCTATCTGCGTATATATATATATATATATATATATATATATATATATTGAAAAAAGGTTGTACACTTTTCAAATACTACTAAGCCGCTTGAGAAACAAATCAAGCTTTCATTTAAATGTCTATAGAAGAAGGGGAAAGAAATAAAATAACTACAAACTATGATAATGATAATAATAGCAATAATAATAATAATAATAATAATTATGATAAACAGAGAGGGGGAAAGGCACACACGCATAAAGTCAAGTCGGTCTGTTTATCCCACGATTATTTCAAAAATGTGGATGTGGATGAGAAGGATTACATTACAAGGGGAGAGGGGGAGGGGGGCGCGCGGCGGTCATGTCCTAGCCTTAACATTTATGTATATTTTCTCTCTCTTAATATAAATGTATATATATATATATATATATTATTATTATATATAGATGGGGGCAACGATGGCAATCGTTCAATTGAAACTATGAAACACTCTTTGACTCCACGCCTTCCTTGGGTTACAAATTAGCTACAGTGGGCACATCATCATCACCACCATTATTATCAAGGGGGTAGGCTTTCATACATATATATATATATATATATATTTCAATTATATATATAAATATTTATATATATATTTTTACATTTTTACATTCATATATATGCCTACCTGAATCTGTATATATATATATATATATATATATATATATATATGTACACGGTCTCTACTATATACTGCCTAGTACGATTCTATCTAATTGATCAGATTATAACAATTCCTGTGTTCACTGGGCACGGAGCTTCAACGCTCCTTCTCCAGCTTTAATAGCTCCTCCTTGGTTGGTCCTTAGTTCATCCATTTGCAACAGTTGGGCGCTCCGCAGGCGCAGGGTATCTTGTGCGATTCATCCTCGATGTCAAACTTGTAATCGTACGAAAGCTGCAAGACAAAAATAGAAATTTTGCGATTTGTCGAGGATGAAAACCCGATATTTTATAGCGGCAAACTAACCTCTTCGCCGCGATAGATCTTCCTTTTGGCGAATATAATGATGCGGACATCGCGATCCACCTCCACGATCTCGGTCACACAATTGGGGTTGCACGAATGGTTGATGTAGCGCGCCAAGCCGCCGCTCAAGGTGGCGTCCACCACGCGATCCTCGTCCAGCCGGAACATATAAATGCCGCGGTTCTATAAGATGGGATTAGGGAATAAGTTATTGATAGTACATGGTAAATAATAATGGCAATATCCTTACCTTTGACTCATATTGCTTCTCGCGTATCTCGGACACCTCGGTGCGTATGACCTCGCCAATGTACTCGATGATCATCGTGTGCTTCTCTATGTCCCGGGCGGCATACAAGCCCAGACCCTGGATCTTGGACCTGCAAGGGAGACAACAGTTTAGCCACTAGCCACTATAACCCAATTTCGAGCGGAGTCTCACCTGGCCAGGTACACATTGTTGCGCCACTCCTGCTTCATCTTCTTGTACTGGGAGCTCTTCGAGTGGACAAACTGCTTGCTGTAGGGACAGGCCACCTCGCCGGCAATGGCCGCCGAATTGGCCATACGCTGGGTGCTGCAGCTGCCAGCCGTGCGCTGCGTGTGTGGCTTCCGCCAGACGAGCAACTGCCTCTGCTTGGGCTCCGTTCGTGCCGCACCCGATGGATTGATGGCCAGGGGGAACTCCAGCAGAGGATTGCGGCCGTACTTGAAGCGATAATCGGTGAGGGTTTCAATTCCCGGCAGACTCTCTAATATCCGGACAATCGTTGGCTCCGTTAGGCCAAAGAGATCCTCGCCACTGATGTGCTGCGGAAAGAGCTGCAGCCACTTGTGGACCTTGCGCAGGCGCGTGATTGGCTGCAGGATTTGCTGCCACACTGCCGACGGTGAGCTGTCGCGGAACTCACGCTCTGGCTCCTTGTCGCCGGCATCCTGGATCACAATGCGGAACTCGGGCTTGCAACCGGCCTCGGCAATGCTGCAAATATAGCGACACCGCCGGTTTGGGCGTCGCACACACCAGTAGTAGCGACTCTGTGGGAGGAGGGGAAACCACAAAAATATGAGACAGAGTTTCAATAGAAACTGCGGGAGTAAAGATCCCACTAGGGTCTACTTACCACCTTGTAGCCAATGGGATAGATGTAGTGGGGCGTATGAAAGGCCTCCAGCTGATGGGGCAGCAGCTGGCCCACATTCAAGAACGTCATATTGCCCACCCGCAGCAGATTGCTTAGCTCCGAGTAGTGCATAACGGTGGCCACCTGTCGGTTCTCATCGCGATCCACAAACACTCGCCGATGGACCACCAGGGAGCTAAGTTCGTTCTCGGTTCCCCCCACTGTGGCTGTTACGCCGGTAGCCGCCGTGGAACTTGCTCCAGAGCCCACCGCTCCATGACCATGGGCACTGCAATGGACGGATTTGTTCTTGTAGAAGACACACTCCTCGCGTATGGCGCAGGGCAGGTGATAAAGGCTATTGCACCGCGACTTGAAGCACTTGATGGTGGCTCCCAGCTGATGGCAGGAGCTACAGGCCTGGTTTAAGCCAGATTGCAGAGCTGTTTGGAAGTTCATCAAGGCACCGGACACGGTCTCGTAGACACCGTTGCTCCATAAAGCGCAATTAAGATGAACCTGGCAGAGGAGAAGAAGGAGGAGGAGATTAGGGAGGAGTTTAGATAGGAGATGAGGAAGGAGACGAGGGAAGAAATGAGGGAGGAGAAGAAAGAGGAAAAGACGGAGGAGATCAGGAAGGAGTAAGGGAAAAGATGAAAGAGAAGATGAGGGAGGAGAAAAAGGGGGAGATGAGGCATGAAATGAGGGAGGAGATTAGGGTGTAGGTTTTGGCTACTCACCCATTTATCCACATCAAAGTTAAGCAGTCGCGAGGGTCCATCCGCCTTGCCATCACCCCTTTGGTTACAAAACACACACTGCCTGGTGTCCTCCAGCTGGCCACTAGCCTCCGTTTCCCACACTGTATTGTTGGCTAATCCCGTGCTTGCTCCTGCTGCTCCTTCAAACTCCAGCTTGATGGCGGTGGCCTCGCCATCGGTGGCAAAGCAATCCGCACTAAAGCACTTGACAATGGACTTGCGCTGGACTGGCAGGTGGCTGGGATTGCTAGGAATACTCTGCTTCACATCCAACTCATCCTCCGGTTCCTGCTTGACCAGGGTTTCGGGAACAGTCGCTAAACCGCCGCCGCCACCGCTGCTGGGTGAATCTCTAGAGGAGTTGGTATTACTGGACAAGCTAGTGGCACCTCCCGCCGGCTGAATCAGCAGACTGGCCGCCTCCGCCGCCTGGCCGCTCCACTTGAATCTGGCAAAGCAGGAGCGATCGCAAAAGTAGGCAAAGTTCGGCGGCGACGACTTGCGGGGTAGCAAAGCCATCAGCTGGGCCAGGCGTGGCAGCTGCTCTTCCAGCGGCGGAACACTGTGTCGCGGCACACGCAGCCCAGTGGCATGAACCACATTACCGCAGCTGCGGCATAACTTGCGGCGTCCGTTGAGTATCTTGCGCAGATGACCCTGGCTAACTTGGCTCAGCGGCCGCTTGAAGTCATCCTTGTTGTGCTTCTCATCCAGATCCTGCAACTGCTCCAGGGCCATATCATTGGCCAGCTTATCGCTGCCCACCTTATCCTCAATGATCTTGCAGGTAAGAGCGGGTGTCAGGTGCAAAAGATTGGCCAGATCCCGCAGAACGCCTGCTATGTTTTCCGTGGAGGAGGAGGAAGCGGGCAAGGCGAGTATCACATTCTGGTTCTTCTGCTGATAGTTGTTGTTGTTGTTGTTACCCAAGGAACCCAAGCCCAGCTCTAGTTGCTGGGACTTGCGCAGCTCCTCGCCGCAAGAGCGCAACACCGGCGACACCGGCACCCTCATAGTTAAGGGATCTTCCGGCAATGCCACCGGCGACATACGTCCATGGCAACGGCTATTCCCATTGAGGATTATCAGGCCAGGATAACGTGTGAGTCGCGGCAGGGCCGCCGCCCAAGCTGCCATGCCTCCCTCGCTCTCTACCAGCTCAATGGTCTCCAGATTGCAATCTCTCACAGCGCCAATGTGTCGCTGCAGGCGCTCGCGAGGATTACGCTCGATGTGGGTGGAAAACTCCTGGTCATAGAAGTCATTCTGTATGCTAGACATGGGCAGTGTCTTTTCCAAGTCCATCATGCCTGGCGTTGGCGAGGGTGAACTGTTGGTTGCTGAACCACCAACCAAGCCGCCGCTTCCACCGAAACGTTCGCTGTCATACAGCGAGGGTATCCCCGGCAGGCACACACGACCATAACGTCCCAGAATGGCTCCATCGCAGTCCTCCAGGCCCTCCAAGTGTCGTCCCAAAGGCCAGCCTCGGTTGTTGAGTGAGGCGCTCTTTAGTTTGCCACTATTTCCAGCGGATGATGATGATGAGGATGATGAGGAAGTGGAGGTGGAGGAGGCCACTGTGCCTCCAGCACCACTGGAGCTGGGTGACCCACCGCCACTGGCCACCGCCTCATTGCTGCCCACCAGAAAGTGAAAATTCCGATTGAGATGCGGCTCTAGGACCTGCAGCGGCTGCATCTGTCGTATGTGGGTTAGCAGCTTTTCGGTAAATGCATCATGATCCTCCTCAACTTTGGAGAATTTGCGCACACGCTTCTTGAGCATAGTGGTAGTGTTGGCACCCGCTCCTCCTGATCCACTGCCAATGGTCACCCCGCCAGTGATCACATGACCTGTGCTGGCATTTCCTCCCTGGATGTATTGCGTTCCTGGTGGCATCCCAGCCAGCTGAACCATGGCACCGGCTGGCAGGGTTCCACTTAGATCTTTGAGTGCTCCTCCAGCTGCCTGGCCAGCATTCAGATTTGTGCGTCGCGGTTTCTGTACTTCTCGTTTGCGCCGCTTTCTTTGATCGCCTGGCTTGGGCTCCACGTTACCACCCGTTCCGGGCATGGGAATGGGTACGGATATCGTGCTGGGTTGCTGGTTGGGTAGCTGCTGCTGCTGGTGATGGAGCTGTAGCTGGGGATGCACGGCTACCTGCTGCACTTGCATCTGCATTTGGGCGGGCATGTGTCCTGGCAGCTGCCCCTGCATGGCCGCCTGCATCTGAGCCTGCATTTGCACCTGTCCCTGGCTCTGCATGGGTTGTAGCTGCTGCAGTTGCTCGGCAGGACCTACTCCTCCTCCTACCCCTCCAGCGGGTTTTTTGACATAGCTGACCAGCTGTACCTTTTCCGTTGGTTGGTTTGCTGGCAAAGAAGAGCTTAGCTCCAGCTGTGGCTGCTGTTGGTGTTGCTGCTGCTGTGGTTGTTGCTGCTGCTGCTGCTGTTGTTGTTGTTGTTGCTGCTGTTGTTGCTGCTGCTGCTGTTGCTGCTGCTGCTGCTGTTGCTGCTGCAGCTGTAGCTGCTTCTCTTCAAGCTGCGGATGCATGGGCAGTTTCCGTTTCTGACCCTCACCAGGCTTAAAGTTCATCTTGGTGGCTGCTCCCACCTCCAAATGATTGCTATTGTTGCTCCAGGCGGGCGTTACAAGGGCTCCTCCCGCCACCACTCCACTCTGTTCCTGATGCTGCATCTCTCCACCTTGCTCCGCCGTTAGCAACTCCTCGCCCTGCTCCATGGGCAAAGCTTTAGGCTTCATCTGCTGCAGCTCCTTAATGGCCGGCTGCTTGGTTGATATCGATATGGTGACATTGGACACGGGTGCTGGAGTGGCCAGTTCGTATGGCGGTGGCGCCAGGAGTTGCTCTACGGGCTGCTTGCTGGCTGTATTATCCGGAGTCACCACCAGCTTGTTGTTAGTCACAGGGCCAGAGATGAAGGAGGTCTCCTTGGAGACAATCTGGACGGTCTGCTTGACCTGGTGCGGTGGAGGAGGTGGGGGCACCTGCAACTGCTGGTGCTGCTGCCGCTGCTGCTGTTGCTGAGGAGGAGGAGGAGGTGGTGGTGGCTGTAGCTGTGCTTGTACTTGTGCCTGAGGATGTGGATGTGGCGCTGGCACCTGGTTCTGATTCTGAACCGTCTGTGTCTGCTCATTCTTCTGCTGCTCCAGCTTTGCCTCGCTTCCGTTTCCACTGGCGCTGGCCATCACCACTGAGGAGACGGCAGTGCCCACCACCGAGGAGGAGGAGGAGGCGGTAGCCAGCTGTTGGCCAGTTCCCCCGGCTATCGTGGTGGTGGCTCTAGGCGTGGCCACAGAGCTACTGCCACTACTACTGCTACTCACTGGCGTGGCCGTGGGCACTGGCGGTATGTTGGGACGCGCCAGCTGATCCCCCAGACTACTGGCCATGCCCAAGATGGGCGCCCGAACATTGGTCACCTTGCGGGCGGAGAGGGGCGCCGAGGTGGAGGTGGAGTTGGAGGAGGAGGAGGAGGAGGATGCAGCACCCGCCACATGGGCGGAGGTGATGCTTATCTGGTTGAGACTATGACTGCTGCTGCTGTTCTGGAGCAGCTGCTTGAGCAGGGCATTATTCGAGTCATCCGCCACCGAGCGCTGGTTGCTGTTTACTGTGCTGGCTGGAGGATTAACTGCAGCTGGAGGAGGGGCAGGTGCAGGAGCAGCAGCAGGAGCTACAGCTATTTGAGCCTGATTCGGTGCCTGATTCTGGGCTTGGTTAATGGGCGTTAGACGTAGCTTCTCCGGAGTGCCCAACTCCTCTCCGCTGCGCTCCTGATCGCTGGGCGTGGCACTCCCACTCGATGGCTCCTTCACCACTCCTGCCTCCTGCTTGACCAGCTTAACCTTTGGCTCGCCGCTGCCGCCGCCAGTGACAATCTCCTCCAGCTTTGCTCCTCCCTCAGTGGCCAGACTAAGGCTAAGCTTGGTGCCCGCGGCATTGTTGGTAAGCTTCAGTTGCATGGGAGCAGTGCCAGTGGGGGGAGGACCAACAACAGCAGCAGTGGTAACAGCTCCCAGGCTGGTTGAAGATCCTCCTCCTCCTCCTCCTCCTCCTGGTCCAGCCTTGTCTCCGCCACTCACATCCTGTACAAGGGCCTGATGCATCTGCAGCGCCGTCTGGCCCGTGCTGGTGGTGATCATCTTGGGCTTCTGCTGGGCCATCGTCGTCTTGGATAATACCAAGGATATGTTCTTGTTTTGAATGGAGAGAATGGGTCGCGTGCCCATACCCGGGCTATTGATGCAAATGGTGCCCGCCGACACGGAGACGGTGGAGGAGGAGGTGGCTCCCAGTTCTGAAGCACTAGTCAAGGGTGTGCCGCATCCTCCCACTGAATTTCCTTGACCCTGAGCCGCCTGAACCTGCTGCTGCTGCTGCTTAAAGATGTTGAAGCTGGGCGGGCAGTTGAGTGCATTCTTGTCCAGCGGCTTGATCACCACGCTATTGATGTTAGTGAACTCCTCCTGGGCCTCCTGGGACTTGCTTTTGTTTAAGATCTTCTGTATATTCTCACTGTAAGCGGTTATCTTGCGGGTAGCCGTGGAGCCATCGTCCTCGGAGGACGTAGCTCCTCCTAGCGACGACGCCTCCTGGACCATGGCATATGTCTGGCTGGGATTGGTTGTGGTAATGGTCACTATACTCCCAGTGGCTGGGGCCAAACCACCGCCGCTGGTCACCTGCAGTGTCTGCTGCTGCTGCTGCTGGTGTTGCTGCTGGTGAAGCTGCAGCGGCAGGGCCATCTTCTTGTTGACTACCTTGGCGGCCACAATCTTGGTGGTGGCGGGTTTGATTTGCAGCCCGGAGAACGAGACAATGGTGCCGCCGCCTGTATTCTTGGGCACTCGTTTGATCAGCTTGGTGAAGTTGTGATGCTGATGCGGATGAACCTGCTGCCCGCTGCCCACCAATGTGGGAGCAGCACTCACCACAGTGGTCACCTGGCCACCCGTCTGCAGAAGCTGCTTGCTTTCAACAATTGTGGCTCCGCCGGCTGTGGCCGCACCGCCGCTCATCAGCGGCTTGAGCAACGGTACCGATATCGTCTTGTTGCCAATGGACACTTTGGCCGTGGTCTGCGTCACCTCGGACAGCTTCTTGGCATTGACCACCAGCTGGGTGGTTTTCATCTTATTGTGCAGGTTCACCCGGTTCAGTAGCGTCGTGGTGGGCTGACCCGTCTGACCAGTGACCGTGGTGTTGAATATATTGTAGTTGCTCTGGCCGGGTTTCTGCGTGAGAATGGTGGTGGTGGCGGTGGTGGCTCCTCCTGTGGCGCCATTGTTAGTGGCATTCAGTATAATGGTGGATGTGGCTCCCGCACCCGTTGGGGCAGCAGTTACTGTGTTGCCCGCGGCGGAGACCACGGCCACCGTATTGTCCCCGCTGCCTGCCGGCATAAGCACATAGTCGAGATCCTCCGTCTTGACGGGATTCTCGGCATGATCCTGGCCAGAACCACTGGGCTCAATTGAGATGATGGAGGCGGTGGATGAGGAGGAGGAGGAGGACGAGGATGAGGCGGCCTCCTTTTTGGTAAAGCTGGCAAAGGCTGTGAGGGGAGAGATTAAAGGGATTAGTGCCTTGTTGCCTCGGGTAACTAGAGCCAACTTACTCTGCTTGTCGACGGCCTCGTCCGTCGCCTTAATTGCACTCATCTCGGCGCCAGAGCCGAAGTTGCACACAATTATTTGCTGCTGCTGCTGCTGATCGCGTGCCTCCCAGGCACCATCCTCCTGGCCGCCAGACGCCTGCGCCTCCTGCGTTTCGAGGGCAATTTTGGGCTGGGCCTTAACCTGCTGGCCAGCACGCTGGTAGAGAAGCTGCTGCGATGGCAGCGGGGCCACTGCTTTGGCGGGCAAACTGGCAGCTGAACTGGGCGTACCGTGCAGTAGCTCCGTCTTGGCCTTCTTTCGCGTTGGATCCTCCGACGGATCGTCGGCGCCGCCTCCGCGCTTTTGGATACTGACCGCACTGAAGGCGGCCACCGCCGCAGAGGCCACACGTTCGGGTTTCGCCTTTTCGGCGGCACCAAGCGATGTTGTCACCTTCGATATATTCATAACAAACAGACAAGTGGGAACGCTGTGCGCTGGAAGCGATGCGTTACGTGGGACGGGGCGGACGAGCGTCCCACTATGGGACTACGAACACGGCGAATTTTAGGTTTAAGTAGCGAAAACATGCACGATTTGGTCAAAAAAAAAATTATTTTCGTGTATTGTATGCAGTAGGTAGTAGAGCTGAAAAAACATCGATGACACTATCGATAATAACACATATCGATTACATGCCTCTGTCTGCCACTATCGATGTGTGAACTATCGGCATGGGGAAAACCTAATTTTTAAGCTACAAAGAACAAAAAAAACTTCCTTTAATCAGAATCTAAATAATTTAGAACCGAAAGCTTTTTTACAAATGCCACACATTTTCCAACTCCATAATCAAGCAAACGATAGTTGTCCAGCACTGATCCGATAGTTGCATCTCTAACATACTTTTGGTTCGATATGGTAACACTGCAATTTGCTCAACGCTGGTCTGGCAACGCTGGTCCTTGTTGATGCAACACATTTTTATGAAAAGCATTTAGGAAATATTGCAAGTCCTTAATAAAAACCTGCGATGTTGGCCCTGAAAACTGTCACACAGCTTTTCAAGCAGACTCTGGCGAGTAAGTAACGTCTTTTCCTGCTTTGCCGCAACGGGAATAATGAAATTTTCTTCGTTTCACTATGATTTATAGCGGGCAACATTGCTATTGTCAATACCGCCGGCCTTAAATACTTTGCTCCGCCCATCAAATACAAGAGTAAGTGAGGCTATTATAACATGGATCTAGGTTGATACATTAACAATCAATTTCCTCACAGATGTGGAGCAGCCGGAGCGGCCCAAGCTAAGGATCATGGAGCGCCAGCCGCAATTGCCGCCGAACATCCGTCCGCCCAAGATGCAGAAGCGTCTGCGTTACATGCGCGGCCCGGAAACGGTGCACAACACCCTGCTCCACAAGCAGTACGCCATCGTGGCCACGGGCGGTGGCCGTCTGCGCTGGGGTCACTACGAGATGATGCGTCTGACCATCGGCCGGAAGATGAACGTTAACACCATGTTTGCCACCTGGCGCGTGCCCGCCCCCTGGCAGCCGATCACCAAAAAGGGACAGGGCCAGCGTATGGGCGGTGGCAAGGGTGCCATCGATCACTACGTAACGCCCATCAAGGCTGGCCGTGTCATTGTCGAGATTGCCGGCAAGTGTGAGTTCGTTGAGGTCAAAAAGTTCCTGCAGCAAGTGGCCAATCAGCTGCCCTTCCAGGCCGCTGTCGTTTCCCAGGAGATGCTCGACGCGCAGCAGGCTGCGGAGGAGGAGCATGCGCGCACGAACAGGAATCCCTTTACGATGAAGTACGTCATCCAGAACAACCTAAACGGCTGCCATCGGTGGCTGTCGCCCGTCGATCACAAGTGGTTTGGCAAGCACTTGTAAGGATGTTTAGTTTATGTGTTCCCCTTAACCTTTACCGATTAATAAACAAATCTTTGTTAAACTGTTTAAAAATCCAACTAGACTTCTTTAAGCCCGATCTATTTCCAGCTCTAGGAACAAGCTATCCTGACCCGTGGCCACTGCTATTCGCACTTTAGGTATACCTCCCAGCTTCACATCACAATAAATAAAAACACGGGACACCATGTGAAGGAAATGTACGATTTCTATTGCAAACATTTGTTTAATTTTTCCATTTCGTTTATGAGGATAATATGTAGTCGTAGAATATTTTTCTTTTTGCAGCTGCATTCGTATTATAATTAATATATATGTATTTTGCAAGTATGCGTTGTGTAAGAGTGTGTGCTTGGAGGGCGATTGTGGTGTTGTGTGTTGAATTATATAGCCTTCTTCCACCGGCTGTCCAGTGCCTCCTCATCCTTCCCATCGTCCATCCATCCAGTTACAGCAGCGTCCCCTTCGTCTTTGCCAAGTAAAATCAACACATAAACGTTGATCTCATCAAATCGATGGATCCCTTAACCGTGATCCATCCCTTGTCGTCGTCCTTTACTCCAGTCCAAGAAGGCAGCCGGTGGAAGGGAGCTATAAAATGCCGGGCGGGGACAGGGGTACGGGATATTCGCGTGTATGTGTGTGTGTTTGTGGGGAGCCGAATGGAATCTCGAGCTCCCTTACCCTTAGCGGTGTCGTCTAACAGTCGGTATCGTACCAGGCAGCCAGATTGTTGTTGTCATTGGGTGGCGTCGGCATGGCGTCCAAATCAAAGTTCAGTGCACCGGCATCAATCTCGCCAACGTCCATGTCCATGGAATAAGGCGATGTGGGTGCGCCGCTGGGCGGGATGGCACCGAGAGCGCCACCGCCGTTACCAGCACCGCCAACAGCTCCGCCATTGCCGCCGGCATTGCCGCCAGCGCCGCCGCCGCCGCCCACCGGGCTGCTGATCTCTAGACCCTGCATTGAATCTATTGGTAGAGTATCATATCCTGCGGACAAAATGGAACAAAGAGAGGAGAAAATAGGCGAAAATTTGATGATTAGTAAACGGGATTAAGGGGAAGAGTCGTTCGATTCCTAGCAGCTCCACTCATATGTGTATCTGCCGCCAGCAGATGATGATCCGGAGTCACAAAGAGCCCCTGCACAAGTGTAACCAACATAATAGTTAACATATATATGTATGTATTTACGAATAAATTCAGAGCTATCTTTGGTTCCATCTATGCAGTAGCTCTGTTTTACACAATAAACCTAGGGATATCGAACAACATAAACCATTCTTTGAATGTCGCTTAAATATATATTCTAGAAACAATGATCAGATAATTTAAATTCGATTTCGAATCTTCATGCACTCACGTCTTACAAACTATATATTCAGATATTTCTTATATATGTATATACACGATTTATACGAATAAAAGTAACTAGTAAGTAGTTCTAGGCGATAATCGCCGGCTACGTGACATGCAAACTTAATCTTCTTTGCTTTTTGATGAGAAAACGTGAAATCTAGGATGCGCTTCTAGTGAGAAACCAAAACGAAATATATATATATGGAAAACGAAAGGATAATATTGGAAATAATCAACAAAAGGTAGTTGTTGTTTCATCTATATCGGTCCAATCGATGATATCAATATCCTGGCTAGAGGTATGCGGGAGTGAAAGAGAAAGAGAGAGACAGAGAGCCAGACAGAAACTCTTCTGGCTTTTGGAAATGAAGGATATAATTTCAAGGATTTTCGCCTTTATGTGTGGAGTGTGAGAAGTGTGTGATTTTGTTTATTTATTTTGTTGTTGTGTTCCCTCGTGTGTGGGTGGGTGGGAGTATGTATTTGTGTGGGTGCTAAGATCTTAAAACTGTTAACCTAATTTGGTCTAAGTCATTCTTTTCATTTTGTGGAGCTGCGCTAAGGATAACAATCTATGTCCTGATGGCAGGATATCAAAAATGCTGTAGGGGACAGTTTCCACGATTGTACGAAGGATGCATTTTCGTTAAAATGAAAGGGAAACGGGTCCTGTTAGGATAATTATCTAGTATTCTAAGGCCTAGAGCTCGTAATTAAATCGATTCTAATTGTTTATAATTGAGTTATTTACTTGTAGATTTTGTATTTAGAAAACAGCAATTTATTTCCAGCTCCTATTCTAGCACTTCGAAAGGCCTTTTCACGACGAATAAAACTAACTTTCCTTTACTTTCTTTGCATGCACACCGTGTTTAATTAAGGGTTAACGCAACCGGGGACGGGTTTACGAGCAGGAAGAGATTAAGATGGTGAGATCTAGCGAGGGGTCGGGTTCGGGGAAATTTTCTCACTTAACATTTTTCTTTTATTTGTTGCTTTGAATTTAATTGGTGCTTATTTGAATGATGAGACACGATAACGATTAAATGTATGCGGGGAAGAAATGGTCTGGGGCTCGGGCTAGGGCTGGGGCTAGGCCTTGGGCTGGGACACAAGGAGGCCCAAGGATTTATCGAATTGTCTGAAGCTTGTTCTTGTTTTAGAGATGGGGGTTATTCGGGGTTGTTCTTCTTGGGGGGGGTTCGGGGTCTCTTCTCTTATGCATATGACATACATACCTTGCTGATGGAATGCGCGACCTCCGTGCGAACTGTGCACACTGGGCGGACCCTGTCCGTACAGGCCCTCATATGCTTCTTCGGGTCCAAGCATATCCTGTGATCGATCGATTTATCGTGTTCGTTTATCGGTTTTGGTTGGTTGGTTGGTCGGTGTACATGTGTGTGCGTAATGTGTATGTGATCGTACGTGAAGTGTGTTTTTAGGTGATGTATTTTTTACAGTTTCGTTTTCACATTTATTTGTTGTTGTTGGGATGGATCAGAAGTGAAAAGTTGTTAGGAAAAAGAAGACACGCGCAAACGGTTGTTTGCAAGTGATTGCGATAGACAGGAAGAGAGAGAGAGAGAGCGGGCGAGGTTGTTTGAGGAGCATGGTGAGATTGGAATAAAGAGAGAGAGCGCAGGAGTCACGTTGTTGTTGTTGATGTTGGTGAGTTTTGATTTCGGTGCAGGTGATAATCCGTCATTGGTTTGATTTTCGGTTCATTTACCGTTGCAGTTGTGTTGGTAGTGGTGGGGATTTTTGTTTTGTTTTGATTTTTTTTTTTGTTTTACACACACAAAGTAAACATAAAGGAAAAAAGAAAAGAACAAAAAGTAAATAAAAAAACGTGAATTAATTACAAAATCATAATTAAAAACAAATGCAGCAGCGAACATTCAAAGAATGTACAAAAATCAATTTTTTTAAATTTATATATTAATGTATATATGGTTGTATTTCAGGGGGTTTGTTTGCAGGGGGAGGTGTGGTGGGGTTTAAGTGGAAGTTGGATTGGGAAGGGGAGGTGTGGGTGTAGTTGTTTCGATTGGTGTGGATGTGTGGGGATAAAATACGTTGAGAACTAATCGGTATCGGCACTGTAATCGTAATCGATGGTCATCTACAGCCAAATGCTCTTGCTACCTACTTATTGACTAACATTTACGATCTATCCAAAGTTCGTGGGGTACATAACGAAAGAGAAGCGATTAAGAACATAAAACATAGGATACAACATAAAAATCGAATCCACAAGAAATCGTTATCGAAATGGTAAGCAAGTCCAAGTAATAGCGATAATATATATGTAGCTCGATACTTAATACGGATACGGATGAGATACCAGTACATAATGCTTGACTAGATTAAGTTTTTCTACAAAATTTACAATTTTTATGTACAAGTTCGCTTCGCGCGGGATTAATTATCAGAAGATTATCAGAAGAATTTGAGTTTGTAAACACAAGAAGAAAGAAAAGGGATTGATTTGAATTGAACCCGGGGGGGTTGAGGAGGAGGGAGAGACCATCCTCCTCTTAGCCTAAGCACGCACCTGCAGATCGGGACCCATGCCCAGGTCAGCGTTGGCCCAAATGTTGTTATCCTCGCGCAGCAGCGAGTTGGTCAGCTCAATGGACAACCGCTTCTTGTAGTCCTGCGGCTTGTCCTCGCTCATACGGAAGAGCACGGCGGCGGCGTATGTGGCCACGCCCTCGTTGCGCGAATGCAGCAGATCAGTTAATGGCCCGGTGGCACCCTCCTGCTCTATAATCTCGGCTCCTTCCTTGTCGGCGGCCAGTTCACAAAGGACACCGGCAGCCACGCGCTAAACAATTGTAATAAAATATAAGCTTTTATATTCACACTTTATATACATTATGTGCACGAAACTCTTACCTGAATATTTTCAATTTCGTTGAACAGCAAACGCACAAAGATCGGTATCACCGACTGCTGGCGGATGAGTGCCCGGTTATGCGACTCCCGGGCCAGTATATGTAAGGCCCCCACCGTGCCTTCGACAATCTCCTCCATGCGTACGCCATCGGCGTAGGCAGATGGCTGCTGGGAGCCAGTGGTGGCAATCGAGGAGCGTTGCTGCAATAGAAGTGTCAACAAATTAGTTTATAATTAATAAAAAATAAAATGGGGGGCTCACTACTCACCCTCTCTGTGTCCTGGAAGGCGCGCATTAGCAGCCGCACCAGGTGATGGATGGCCCCGTGCTCACGCAACGGGGCATGGTTGGCCGGACATAAAGCCAAATTGCGAATGAGCCCAATTACGGCCTTGATCAATGGCCAGCGTGATGGCGGATGCAAGAGCTTCACAATCACCGATAGGCCATAGTTCAGACGCACGGCATTCTGGGCCAGCTCCGAGTCAACGTGACGCGAGGTCAGGTGACGCAGGGCACAGACAGCCGGCTCGGTAATCTCCTCGCGATCGCCGGCATTAATTATGGTACGGACGAGAGCATCCACGCCGCCCACCTGGCAAACGGTGGCCTTGTTGCGTTGATTGTTGCACGTCAGATTCGAGAGGATGCCGGCGGCACAGGTGACCACATTGACATCGGTGGAGCCGAGCACCTGGACGAGCGACTGGAGCAGGGCCTCGAGACCCTCCACTTTGGTGGCCGCATCCGATAGATTGCGCAGCGTCCACAGGCAGTTCTGCACCAGA